AGAAGTAAAACTTCCTGCCAATGACAATGTGCAAACATTTAGAGTATTTGGACGAACGGGACCTTCAGCACCATGGACACTACTTGAATCTACTGATGTAAGTACATGGTCATGGTCAAACCAATACAATTTTTTCTTTTCAATTTATAAGAGTCGTACAACCATAAATTGTTTATATTCATTGATTTAATTAGATGCTTTATATGGGGAATTGTATGTGTTTCCAGTCGTTTACTTTTATTTTATTTGAATCCATCAATAAACTTTAAATTACAATATCGTTCTATCTTTAAACAGAATGATACCACTGATGATTCTCTTAAATTCCCACCTGAAGTCGTTGTCACAGAGATTATGGTTGAAATAACACCAACGGATTCGGACAAACCAGTGACGATTGATGTTAGTGTGCACGCCTGTTTTGTAGGTTCGTAGCAAATCTTTATTCTTTTTTTCTTAGATATTTCTTTATCCACATTTAATATAATTACTTTATCCCATATTAATGTTCTACTACATTTGTATCTTTATAGTTACAACTGGCACAGAAGGAACATCACCAACAGGTAAGCCTAATGAACGATTTGATAACTTGTTAAATATATTTTAGGAAATTTTATATCAGATGGAATGAAATAAAACATTGCGTGGACTCAAATAGGTCTGTAACAATAGCTGCCACGAATGTAATATATGGATAAACAGTAAACATGTAATGAATTTTGATTTAATTGAAAGGAGCGTCAATTTCCTTGACATTTGTTTAATTTGAGCAATGCAAGTGTTGACAAACAATTAATTCTTTTCTGAAATATCTGTATAACCATTTATATCTCCAGCACCCTAAACTTCGCCAACTGCACCCGGAACTTCGCCAACTGCACCGGAACGTCTCCCACAGTTAATTGTAGTCGGACATTTTTAATCTTTACTAGAATATCATGTTAAATGTTTTTTAACAGCAGATGATATACTATTCCATATATATCTAATGGAAGTAACAATTATTTATATTTTGGTGTAGTTCGTTTACACAAATGATTATTGGATACTACTGTTTGACAGTTACACTACTCCGAGGCCCAGCCTATATTATCAGACAAGCACTTTAATTTCAGCAGTCAATGTCTTGAAAAACAAATGATTTATACATCGAGCAGCATTAACTTCGCCCAGGACCTTCTACCACAAACCCCTTGAGCAGTTAAAGAACTGATGAACAATTCATTCTTTTATAAAATATTTAATATAAAATCATTTCTGTCTCCAGCACCAGGAACTTCCCCAACTGCACCCGGAACTTCCCCGACTGCACCCGGAACTTCACCGACTGCGCCTGGAACTTCTCCCACAGGTAATACAAGTACAAACAATCAACTACATTTAATTACAATTATTTATATCTTGATGCAGCCTATTTACATAAAGCAGTAATGGTTAATGATGTCAATGTACTTGACAGTTACAGATCTTCTAGGCCCGGCTTATATTCTCGGACAAGCACTTTAATTTCAGATGGCCATGCACTTGAAAAACAATTGATTTATATATCCAGCACCAAGAATTTCGCCATCTGCGACCAGAACTTCTCCCACAAACTACTAGAGGACCGCTTATACGTATCTTGAAGCTGAAAAGTGACACCTGTATAATTACGTAATTACGATACAAAATGCCTCTCATTGGGTTACTAAAAGCTAGTATTTTTGGTGTGACGCACCCAAGAGAGAGTGAACTTTCCACGGCCTTTTGTTCCAGAGTGATATCCTCTTATCCAAAAACCTTGATAGAGGCTACAATTTTCAAGAGATCCTTTTTCAAATTTTGTGTGAAGCTTTGGCTACATTACAGGATAATGATATTAAGCTATAGTTTTCAGCAGATTTTTTTAAAATTCCATATGAAGCATTGGGATAACCAAAGGATGTGCTCGATCAATTTTACCACTCTTGCAACAGAGGGTGTGTGTTTCATGGCAACCGATTGCCCGAGACGAGTACGGGACTGAACGTGCGTCACCGGATTGACACTCTCCCTTGTGATGGATCCCCATAGGTTACATAAGTGCCGCACCTTGTGTTTTGCATTTGATACATTTGCCTGAAGGTTAGTTGCTTAGGGTGTTGTTAATTCACTGAAATGACAAGTTTAATCATTTAAACGCTTCAAATTGACAGTGCTCCAGTGGCGAAATAATGCGTTCAGCTGTCCATATAAAACATCACTATAAAATCTATATCTCGACATTGGTATAATTTTTACTAATTTGGGTTTAATTTGGTTTTATAATTATTAATTACTGAAACCATTCGAAGAACCAGTTTAGACAATGAACCCGGATTTGATTGGAGGGAGCGGGTGGAGCTATTTAAATAAATGATTACAGCAGCGTATTTCAACATTTTTGTGTCAATTTAAACCAATGGGATTTTAATTAATTATTTAATTGGCTAATTACCGAAAGCCCTCCAGAGAGACAGTGATCTAGTAGCAACAATAATGGTTTTAGTGGTTTCATATAAAATCGTCCCAACTACTATAACGATTTACATTTTTAAATGGTTTCTATGAAGTTATGTCATCTTAACATCTATTCACAGATAAGACCCGTAATTTTCTTTGAAAATGATTCATAGCTTCATTCATACTAAAACAAATATGCAGATCATTTAAATTTCGCCAATTTTGATATTGTGAGATATTGGGAAGTTTAAATTATTCAAGCTTTTCTAAGCTATAGTGTTATCTGTTATTAATAATTTGTGTTTCGTTTTCTATTTACAGTTGGAACAACAAAACGTAAATTAATGTAAACAGTCAAATTAAAACAATAAATCAACATTTGAGCTTAAATATGACATATCACAAACATGATACTATAGAATTTTGAAGTTTGAAGCGACCATTACAGTTTAAACCAAAACATTTGATTTATGGATATATGTTGTATCTTAATACTTGGCACATGTTGTATTTCAGCACGATGTCTTGTGACATCTTTCTAGGATGTCTTTCTACCAATATGTATTGAAAGGGCCACTCTATGTTTTTGAAAACATCACCTGCGTATATAAATGACTATATAAATAAAAAACTTTCAAACATATTTGATAACTATAAAATATTTGCAATTTTATTAACCGTTGTTTTGCTCTAATTTACAGTTTGTGCCGAGGTTAAAGGTATGGAGGACCCTGCTATTATACCCGCTTCCAGTATAACAGCACCGGGCGTTTCCAATCCCGAAAACCTTAGACCAGGAAGTGCAACCACAGCTACTTTCCCTGCCCAATCTTCACCAATTAGTGTAACAATCGATTTGGCACCCATCACTGATGAAACGGTAGAAATTAAATCAGTGGAACTTGTATCACCACAGAATGTAGGATCTATCAGGGTATTTGTAATTGCAACTGGTGGTTCAGAAACAGAAGCAACTTATTTGACTGCAGTAAGTATAAACACGCTTGCTATTAAGACTCTATTCCTTAAGAGTTTTTTGTTTACAAGAACTGATGTTTTCTATTATTTTTACAGACTGATTTATCAGCACCCATTCCTAAAGCTACCTTCCCTGCTGGTACGGAAGCTGCACAAATCAGAGTCGAAGTAACCCAAACCAATAACGAGTCCGAAACAAGTTTCTCTCTTGATGTTAGAGCATGTTTCGAAGGTAGGATACTAATATATTTGTAATTCAGTTTTATTATGTGTTCGACGATGAAAATATGCAAAGAAAATAAATTTGAATAATCTTCCAAGGAATTCAATCCAATTGTCGTCTATGATTCTATGGGCGTACTTCTTTTATTTTAGAAACAAGTGTGTCCGGCACATCACCCACTGAAGCAGGAACATCACCCACTGAAGCAGGAACATCTCCTACAGGTAATTGTAATTTCTGAATATCCCTAATTTCGAGTGTCAAATTTCAGATATTTATTTTGTTCAACTGCAGTCCGTTAGTTTTGAACAACCATAAGATAAATCTAGATAGTATGTAAATAAAGAAAGTCGAACAATTTTAAGCTGAAACAAAATTGGTTGAGTTACTTATCTTATCTTAACTTTTCCTTTTATTCATTTTACCAGTTGGAACAACTACACGTAAGTTTATTTTTATTTATTTTTTAAAGAAAGGGAATAATGTCCAGGCTTCATTTATATGAACACTTTCTGAATCCAACAAAATCTTTGAAGCGACCATTACAGTTTAAATATAAAAAAAATGATTTACATGCATTTGATTGATGGATGTGTGTTGTATCTTAACACTTGGCACATCTTGTATTTCAGCACGGTGTCTTGTGACAGAAGGAATGGCAAGTCCAACAGTTATACCAGCTGAATACCTTGAACAACCATCTGGATTCCCATCGACAGATGATCCAGAGAATCTGAGACCAGGTGGTGATCAATTTACAATTAACCCATCGGATGCTCCTACCAACGTCACATTTAAACTTACTGATGATGTTGAGCCCGTTGATCTGTCAGAAGTAAAACTTCCTGCCAATGACAATGTGCAAACATTTAGAGTATTTGGACGAACGGGACCTTCAGCACCATGGACACTACTTGAATCTACTGATGTAAGTACATGGTCATGGTCAAACCAATACAATATTTTCTTTTCAATTTATAAGAGTCGTACAACCATAAATTGTTTATATTCATTGATTTAATTAGATGCTTTATATGGGGAATTGTATGTGTTTCCAGTCGTTTACTTTTATTTTATTTGAATCCATCAATAAACTTTAAATTACAATATCGTTCTATCTTTAAACAGAATGATACCACTGATGATTCTCTTAAATTCCCACCTGATGTCGTTGTCACAGAGATTATGGTTGAAATAACACCAACGGATTCGGACAAACCAGTGACGATTGATGTTAGTGTGCACGCCTGTTTTGTAGGTTCGTATCAAATCTTTATTATTTTTTTCTTAGATATTTCTTTATCCACCTTTAATATAATTACTTTATCCCATATTAATGTTCTACTACATTTGTATCTTTATAGTTACAACTGGCACAGAAGGAACATCACCAACAGGTAAGCCTAATGAACGATTTGATAACTTGTTAAATATATTTTAGGAAATTTTATATCAGATGGAATGAAATAAAACATTGCGTGGACTCAAATAGGTCTGTAACAATAGCTGCCACGAATGTAATATATGGATAAACAGTAAACATGTAATGAATTTTGATATAATTGGAAGTAATGTCAATTTCCTTGACAGTTGAATTTAAGGCCCAGGCCTGTTTAATTTGAACAGTGCAAGTCTTGACAAACAATTAATTCTTTTCTGAAATATCTATATAACCATTTATATCTCCAGCACACGGAACTTCCCCAACTGCACCCGGGACTTCGCCAACTGCGCCCGGAACGTCTCCCACAGTTAGTAGCAGTCGGACATTTTTAATCTTTACTAGAATATCATGTTAAATGTTTTTAACAGCAGATGATAAACTATTCCATATCTATTTAATGGAAGTATTAATTATTTATATTTTGGTGTAGTTCTTTTACACAAATGATTATTGGATACTACTGTCAATTGGCTAGACAGTTACACTACTCCGAGGCCCAGCTTATATTTTCAGACAAGCACTTTAATTTCAGCAGCCAATGTCTTGAAAAACAAATGATTTATACATCGAGCAGCATTAACTTCGCCACCGGCGCCCAGGACCTTCTACCACAAACCCTTTGAGCAGTTAAAGAACTGATGATCAATTCATTCTTTTATAAAATATTTAATATAAAATCATTTCTGTCTCCAGCACCAGGGACTTCGCCAACTGCACCCGGAACTTCCCCATCTGCACCCGGAACTTCCCCAACTGCACCCGGAACTTCACCGACTGCGCCTGGAACTTCTCCCACAGGTAATAGAAGTTCAAACAGTCAACTATTTAATTACAATTATTTATATCTTGATGTAGTCTATTTAAACAAAGCAGTAACGGATAATGGTGTCAATGTGCTTGACAATTACAGATCTTCTAAGTCCAGCTTATATTTTCAGCCAAGCACTTTTATTCCAGAAGACCATTCACTTTGTAAACAAATGATTTATATATCCAGCACCAAGAACTTCTCCCACAAACTACTAGAGGGCCTCTTATACTTGAAGCTGAAAAGTGACACCCGTATAATTACTAAAATACGATACAAATTGCCTCTCATTAGGTTACTATATTTCTCTCAAGAAAGAATATTTAGCTCTCTAGGCCTCTTGCATGAAGTCTGTGAAAATTGAATCCATATTTTATTGGAGTTAACATTTATACTTTCACAATTTTTTCAGAGAGATGCGAGGAGATAAATGGAATGGAGATTCCAGCATTTATACCAAGTTCAAGTGTTGAGGGTTTAACACCTGACCAAGTGGATAATCTAAGGACAAGCGATGCCCCATTATCTATCATACCCGACGGCACCAATACTATACTATTTACCATAGATCTTTCACCTAATACCGATGAGGATGTCGATCTTGGATCTATCGCATTCCCGAATGCTGAGAATATCGAATCCATAGAATTAACGCTGATTGATTCACAGGGCATCGAAACTCCTGTAACAGACCAAGTAAGTCTCAAGTCTCAAATGCTATATTCGAAGCAAGTTTGGTAAAACGGATACGCCCTGATTTTACTTGATTATGCCCGTTCTTTATGACGCCACATTCATATCCCACGAAAATGGGGTTGAAAGAACAATTTTAATCCCAAATAAAGCATTTCAAAAAAATTATAATATTATAAATATACTTCATTATTATTATATTATTGTGTTACTATTCTTCCATAATGACGCGTCATTTTTGTTGTATGTCTTGAAAAGCTCATCCGACGCGTGTAGACTTTTAAACAAAGGTACCATTTAAAAGCATTTTAGAAATGGTCTATTTGTATAATCATAGGCTGGTCTCCAAGACACACCACGAAAAGCTGATTTCCCTCCGGAAACTAAAACTGAAAAGGTACGAGTTCTTCTGAAGCCAAAGAACACTACAGCTCCTGTTAGATTTAATTTGGATGTAAGAGCATGCTTTGAAGAGACTGCCACAACAGGAACATCTCCCACAGGTAGGTCCTATCCATGTTTTAATGTGAAAAGATGAGCTTCTGATATCCAATGTTTAAGACAAAATGAAAATTTTAGAACTGACTCACGAAGCGCCGTTTGTAATGAAGCAACTCGATGAACAAGGCTTTAAACATACCTTACAGGTGAATACTACCGGTGTAGACTGGAATAACCAGACTGTCATTCAACTTATTGAATCAATTTTCTCTACTAGTACACTAATTGAATAATTAGCTACTTAATAATAGTGCGGTCCAGAGTTATGCACTTTCCATTTTAGGCATAATGTGGTCAAATATTAGGGATCAAACGATCCTAATTAAAATATGTAAAAAGATTATGGCCCCTCTAGATTTAGGTGTATTTTAAAGATATTAGATGTTTATGAGTTTAGTGTTCATCGGACATTAAGCTGCGGGGTTATGCCCCATGACCCGTAACCGTTGGAAAATTATAGAGGCTACACATTTTAACATATTTTTTTTCAAATTTAATTTGATTCATTGGTGTCATGACGCACCCCATAGACAGTGAACATTCCTCGGCCTATTGTTCCAGAGTGATGTCCTATTATCCGAAAACCTTGATAGAGGCTACGGTTTTCTACAGATCCTAAGCTTAGGAATTATATTGAAGTAGACGTACAACAGAGTATTTTTTTTGCATAATTAACAATTTAAATCCAATGTAAACAAATAAGAACTTTTCGTAAATTATCACAAATTATCAAATGACAATTTATTACTGATATAAATTATATCCTGATGCCCAGTTATTGAAATTGACAGTCGCTGAGCTAGTGTACGTGGTGCTTACATTGCACAATTTATTCAAAATTTGTATAAAAACACATGTTATTGTAATCACCCTTTCCGTCCATCGATCTGTCATTTCATTCACGCTATGTCTCAACGTAATATCCCTATTTCTTTCTACAACTGTCCAAACTGCTTGTAATGCTTACTAGAACGATATATAAAGGTCATTGTGTCTAACTGTTGTGAAACATTCGGTGAACTTGTATTATGATAAGATGATCCCTATGTCTTTCGTGGATTCCCTGCTATGTCATCTTAACATCTATTTGATTACTATAAAATATATGAGCTTTTATTAACTGGTTTTTTTTTTGCTTCAATTTACAGTTGTTTGTGCCGAGGTTAAAGGAATGGGGGACCCCGCTATTATTCCCGCTTCCAGTATAACAGCACTATAAAATATTTGCAATTTTATTAACCGTTGTTTTGCTCTAAGTTTCAGTTTGTGCCGAGGTTAAAGGTATGGAGGACCCTGCTATTATTCCAACTTCCAGTATAACAGCACCGGGCGTTTCCAATCCCGAAAACCTTAGACCAGGAAGTGCAACCACAGCTACTTTCCCTGCCCAATCTTCACCAATTAGTGTAACAATCGATTTGGCACCCATCACTGATGAAACGGTAGAAATTAAATCAGTGGAACTTGTATCACCACAGAATGTAGGATCTATCAGGGTATTTGTAATTGCAACTGGTGGTTCAGAAACAGAAGCAACTTATTTGACTGCAGTAAGTATAAACACGCTTGCTATTAAGACTCTATTCCTTAAGAGTTTTTTGTTTACAAGAACTGATGTTTTCTATTATTTTTACAGACTGATTTATCAGCACCCATTCCTAAAGCTACCTTCCCTGCTGGTACGGAAGCTGCACAAATCAGAGTCGAAGTAACCCAAACCAATAACGATTCCGAAACAAGTTTCTCTCTTGATGTTAGAGCATGTTTCGAAGGTAGGATACTAATATATTTGTAATTCAGTTTTATTATGTGTTCGACGATGAAAATATGCAAAGAAAATAAATTTGAATAATCTTCCAAGGAATTCAATCCAATTGTCGTCTATGATTCTATGGGCGTACTTCTTTTATTTTAGAAACAAGTGTTTCCGGCACATCACCCACTGAAGCAGGAACATCACCCACTGAAGCAGGAACATCTCCTACAGGTAATTGTAATTTCTGAATATCCCTAATTTCGAGTGTCAAATTTCAGATATTTATTTTGTTCAACTGCAGTCTCGTTAGTTTAGAACAACCATAAGATAAATCTAGATACGTATGTAAATAAAGAAAGTCGAACAATTCTAAGCTGAAACAAAATTGGTTGAGTTACTTATCTTATCTTAACTTTTCCTTTTATTCATTTTACCAGTTGGAACAACTACACGTAAGTTTATTTTTATTTATTTTTTAAAGAAAGGGAATAATGTCCAGGCTTCATTTATATGAACACTTTCTGAATCCAACAAAATCTTTGAAGCGACCATTACAGTTTAAATATAAAAAAAATGATTTACATGCATTTGATTGATGGATGTGTGTTGTATCTTAACACTTGGCACATCTTGTATTTCAGCACGGTGTCTTGTGACAGAAGGAATGGCAAGTCCAACAGTTATACCAGCTGAATACCTTGAACAACCATCTGGATTCCCATCGACAGATGATCCAGAGAATCTGAGACCAGGTGGTGATCAATTTACAATTAACCCATCGGATGCTCCTACCAACGTCACATTTAAACTTACTGATGATGTTGAGCCCGTTGATCTGTCAGAAGTAAAACTTCCTGCCAATGACAATGTGCAAACATTTAGAGTATTTGGACGAACGGGACCTTCAGCACCATGGACACTACTTGAATCTACTGATGTAAGTACATGGTCATGGTCAAACCAATACAATTTTTTCTTTTCAATTTATAAGAGTCGTACAACCATAAATTGTTTATATTCATTGATTTAATTAGATGCTTTATATGGGGAATTGTATGTGTTTCCAGTCGTTTACTTTTATTTTATTTGAATCCATCAATAAACTTTAAATTACAATATCGTTCTATCTTTAAACAGAATGATACCACTGATGATTCTCTTAAATTCCCACCTGAAGTCGTTGTCACAGAGATTATGGTTGAAATAACACCAACGGATTCGGACAAACCAGTGACGATTGATGTTAGTGTGCACGCCTGTTTTGTAGGTTCGTAGCAAATCTTTATTCTTTTTTTCTTAGATATTTCTTTATCCACCTTTAATATAATTACTTTATCCCATATTAATGTTCTACTACATTTGTATCTTTATAGTTACAACTGGCACAGAAGGAACATCACCAACAGGTACGCCTAATGAACGATTTGATAACTTGTTAAATATATTTTAGGAAATTTTATATCAGATGGAATGAAATAAAACATTGCGTGGACTCAAATAGGTCTGTAACAATAGCTGCCACGAATGTAATATATGGATAAACAGTAAACATGTAATGAATTTTGATTTAATTGAAAGGAGCGTCAATTTCCTTGACATTTGTTTAATTTGAGCAATGCAAGTGTTGACAAACAATTAATTCTTTTCTGAAATATCTGTATAACCATTTATATCTCCAGCACCCGAAACTTCGCCAACTGCACCCGGAACTTCGTCAAATGCGCCGGAACGTCTCCCACAGTTAATTGTAGTCGGACATATTCAATCTTTATTAGAATATCATGTTAAATGTTTTTTAACAGCAGATGATATACTATTCCATATCTATCTAATGGAAGTAACAATTATTTATATTTTGGTGTAGTTCTTTTACACAAATGATTATTGGATACTACTGTCAATTTGTTTGACAGTTACACTACTCCGAGGCCCAGCCTATATTATCAGACAAGCACTTTAATTTCAGCAGTCAATGTCTTGAAAAACAAATGATTTATACATCGAGCAGCATTAACTTCGCCACCGGCGCCCAGGACCTTCTACCACAAACCCCTTGAGCAGTTAAAGAACTGATGAACAATTCATTCTTTTATAAAATATTTAATATAAAATCATTTCTGTCTCCAGCACCAGGAACTTCCCCAACTGCACCCGGAACTTCCCCAACTTCACCCGGAACTTCACCGACTGCGCCTGGAACTTCTCCCACAGGTAATACAAGTACAAACAATCAACAACATTTAATTACAATTATTTATATCTTGATGCAGCCTATTTACATAAAGCAGTAATGGTTAATGATGTCAATGTACTTGACAGTTACAGATCTTCTAGGCCCGGCTTATATTCTCGGACAAGCACTTTAATTTCAGATGGCCATGCACTTGAAAAACAATTGATTTATATATCCAGCACCAAGAATTTCGCCATCTGCGACCGGAACTTCTCCCACAAACTACTAGAGGACCGCTTATACGTATCTTGTAGCTGAAAAGTGACACCTGTATAATTACGTAAATACGATACAAAATGCCTCTCATTGGGTTACCAAAAGCTAGTATTTTTGGTGTGACGCACCCACGAGAGAGTGAACATTCCACGGCCTTTTGTTCCAGAGTGATATCCTCTTAACCAAAAACCTTGATAGAGGCTACAATTTTCAAGAGATCCTTTTTCAAATTTTATGTGAAGCTTTGGCTACATTACAGGATAATGATATTAAGCTATAGTTTTCAGCAGATTTTTTTAAAATTCCATATGAAGCATTGGGATAACCAAAGGATGAGCTCGATCAATTTTACCACTCTTGCAACAGAGGGTGTGTGTTTCATGGCAACCGATTGCTCGAGACGAGTACGAGACTGAACGTGCGTCACCGGATTGACACTCTCCCTTGTGATGGATCCCCATAGGTTACATAAGTGCCGCACCTTGTGTTTTGCATTTGATACATTTGCCTGAATGTTAGTTGCTTAGGGTGTTGTTAATTCACTGAAATGACAAGTTTAATCATTTAAACGCTTCAAATTGACAGTGCTCCAGTGGCGAAATAATGCGTTCAGCTGTCCATATAAAACATCACTATAAAATCTATATCTCGACATTGGTATAATTTTTACTAATTTGGGTTTAATTTGGTTTTATAATTATTAATTACTGAAACCATTCGAAGAACCAGTTTAGACAATGAACCCGGATTTGATTGGAGGGAGCGGGTGAAGCTATTTAAATAAATAATTACACGGCGTATTTCAACATTTTTGTGTCAATTTAAACCAAAGGGATTTTAATTAATTATTTAATTGGCTAATTACCGAAAGCCCCCCAGAGAGACAGTGATCTAGTAGCAACAATAATGGTTTTAGTGGTTTCATATAAAATCGTCCCAACTACTATAACGATTTACATTTTTAAATGGTTTCTATGAAGTTATGTCATCTTAACATCTATTCACAGATAAGACCCGTAATTTTCTTTGAAAATGATTCATAGCTTCATTCATACTAAAACAAATATGCAGATCATTTAAATTTCGCCAATTTTGATATTGTGAGATATTGGGAAGTTTAAATTATTCAAGCTTTTCTAAGCTATAGTGTTATCTGTTATTAATAATTTGTGTTTCGTTTTCTATTTACAGTTGGAACAACAAAACGTAAATTAATGTAAACAGTCAAATTAAAACAATAAATCAACATTTGAGCTTAAATATGACATATCACAAACATGATACTATAGAATTTTGAAGTTTGAAGCGACCATTACAGTTTAAACCAAAACATTTGATTTATGGATATATGTTGTATCTTAATACTTGGCACATGTTGTATTTCAGCACGATGTCTTGTGACATCTTTCTAGGATGTCTTTCTACCAATATGTATTGAAAGGGCCACTCTATGTTTTTGAAAACATCACCTGCGTATATAAATGACTATATAAATAAAAAACTTTCAAACATATTTGATAACTATAAAATATTTGCAATTTTATTAACCGTTGTTTTGCTCTAATTTACAGTTTGTGCCGAGGTTAAAGGTATGGAGGACCCTGCTATTATACCCGCTTCCAGTATAACAGCACCGGGCGTTTCCAATCCCGAAAACCTTAGACCAGGAAGTGCAACCACAGCTACTTTCCCTGCCCAATCTTCACCAATTAGTGTAACAATCGATTTGGCACCCATCACGGATGAAACGGTAGAAATTAAATCAGTGGAACTTGTATCACCACAGAATGTAGGATCTATCAGGGTATTTGTAATTGCAACTGGTGGTTCAGAAACAGAAGCAACTTATTTGACTGCAGTAAGTATAAACACGCTTGCTATTAAGACTCTATTCCTTAAGAGTTTTTTGTTTACAAGAACTGATATTTTCTATTATTTTTACAGACTGATTTATCAGCACCCATTCCTAAAGCTACCTTCCCTGCTGGTACGGAAGCTGCACAAATCAGAGTCGAAGTAACCCAAACCAATAACGATTCCGAAACAAGTTTCTCTCTTGATGTTAGAGCATGTTTCGAAGGTAGGATACTAATATATTTGTAATTCAGTTTTATTATGTGTTCGACGATGAAAATATGCAAAGAAAATAAATTTGAATAATCTTCCAAGGAATTCAATCCAATTGTCTATGATTCTATGGGCGTACTTCTTTTATTTTAGAAACAAGTGTGTCCGGCACATCACCCACTGAAGCAGGAACATCACCCACTGAAGCAGGAACATCTCCTACAGGTAATTGTAATTTCTGAATATCCCTAATTTCGAGTGTCAAATTTCAGATATTTATTTTGTTCAACTGCAGTCCGTTAGTTTAGAACAACCATAAGATAAATCTAGATACGTATGTAAATAAAGAAAGTCGAACAATTTTAAGCTGAAACAAAATTGGTTGAGTTACTTATCTTATCTTAACTTTTCCTTTTATTCATTTTACCAGTTGGAACAACTACACGTAAGTTTATTTTTATTTATTTTTTAAAGAAAGGGAATAATGTCCAGGCTTCATTTATATGAACACTTTCTGAATCCAACAAAATCTTTGAAGCGACCATTACAGTTTAAATATAAAAAAAATGATTTACATGCATTTGATTGATGGATGTGTGTTGTATCTTAACACTTGGCACATTTTGTATTTCAGCACGGTGTCTTGTGACAGAAGGAATGGCAAGTCCAACAGTTATACCAGCTGAATACCTTGAACAACCATCTGGATTCCCATCGACAGATGATCCAGAGAATCTGAGACCAGGTGGTGATCAATTTACAATTAACCCATCGGATGCTCCTACCAACGTCACATTTAAACTTACTGATGATGTTGAGCCCGTTGATCTGTCAGAAGTAAAACTTCCTGCCAATGACAATGTGCAAACATTTAGAGTATTTGGACGAACGGGACCTTCAGCACCATGGACACTACTTGAATCTACTGATGTAAGTACATGGTCATGGTCAAACCAATACAATTTTTTCTTTTCAATTTATAAGAGTCGTACAACCATAAATTGTTTATATTCATTGATTTAATTAGATGCTTTATATGGGGAATTGTATGTGTTTCCAGTCGTTTACTTTTATTTGATTTGAATCCATCAATAAACTTTAAATTACAATATCGTTCTATCTTTAAACAGAATGATACCACTGATGATTCTCTTAAATTCCCACCTGAAGTCGTTGTCACAGAGATTATGGTTGAAATAACACCAACGGATTCGGACAAACCAGTGACGATTGATGTTAGTGTGCACGCCTGTTTTGTAGGTTCGTAGCAAATCTTTATTCTTTTTTTCTTAGATATTTCTTTATCCACCTTTAATATAATTACTTTATCCCATATTAATGTTCTACTACATTTGTATCTTTATAGTTACAACTGGCACAGAAGGAACATCACCAACAGGTAAGCCTAATGAACGATTTGATAACTTGTTAAATATATTTTAGGAAATTTTATATCAGATGGAATGAAATAAAACATTGCGTGGACTCAAATAGGTCTGTAACAATAGCTGCCACGAATGTAATATATGGATAAACAGTAAACATGTAATGAATTTTGATTTAATTGAAAGGAGCGTCAATTTCCTTGACATTTGTTTAATTTGAGCAATGCAAGTGTTGACAAACAATTAATTCTTTTCTGAAATATCTGTATAACCATTTATATCTCCAGCACCCGAAACTTCGCCAACTGCACCCGGAACTTCGCCAACTGCGCCGGAACGTCTCCCACAGTTAATTGTAGTCGGACATTTTTAATCTTTACTAGAATATCATGTTAAATGTTTTTTAACAGCAGTTGATATACTATTCCATATCTATCTAATGGAAGTAACAATTATTTATATTTTGGTGTAGTTCTTTTATACAAATGATTATTGGATACTACTGTCAATTTGTTTGACAGTTACACTACTCCGAGGCCCAGCCTATATTATCAGACAAGCACTTTAATTTCAGCAGTCAATGTCTTGAAAAACAAATGATTTATACATCGAGCAGCATTAACTTCGCCACCGGCGCCCAGGACCTTCTACCACAAACCCCTTGAGCAGTTAAAGAACTGATGAACAATTCATTCTTTTATAAAATATTTAATATAAAATCATTTCTGTCTCCAGCACCAGGAACTTCCCCAACTGCACCCGGAACTTCCCCAACTGCACCCGGAACTTCACCGACTGCGCCTGGAACTTCTCCCACAGGTAATACAAGTACAAACAATCAACTACATTTAATTACAATTATTTATATCTTGATGCAGCCTATTTACATAAAGCAGTAATGGTTAATGATGTCAATGTACTTGACAGTTACAGATCTTCTAGGCCCGGCTTATATTCTCGGACAAGCACTTTAATTTCAGATGGCCATGCACTTGAAAAACAATTGATTTATATATCCAGCACCAAGAATTTCGCCATCTGCGACCAGAACTTCTCCCACAAACTACTAGAGGACCGCTTATACGTATCTTGAAGCTGAAAAGTGACAGCTGTATAATTACGTAAATACGATACAAAATGCCTCTCATTGGGTTACCAAAAGCTAGTATTTTTGGTGTGACGCACCCAAGAGAGAGTGAACTTTCCACGGCCTTTTGTTCCAGAGTGATATCCTCTTATCCAAAAACTTTGATAGAGGCTACAATTTTCAAGAGATCCTTTTTCAAATTTTGTGTGAAGCTTTGGCTACATTACAGGATAATGATATTAAGCTATAGTTTTCAGCAGATTTTTTTTTAAATTCCATATGAAGCATTGGGATAACCAAAGGATGTGCTCGATCAATTTTACCACTCTTGCAACAGAGGGTGTGTGTTTCATGGCAACCGATTGCTCGAGACGAGTACGAGACTGAACGTGCGTCACCGGATTGACACTCTCCCTTGTGATGGATCCCCATAGGTTACATAAGTGCCGCACCTTGTGTTTTGCATTTGATACATTTGCCTGAATGTTAGTTGCTTAGGGTGTTGTTAATTCACTGAAATGACAAGTTTAATCATTTAAACGCTTCAAATTGACAGTGCTCCAGTGGCGAAATAATGCGTTCAGCTGTCCATATAAAACATCACTATAAAATCTATATCTCGACATTGGTATAATTTTTACTAATTTGGGTTTAATTTGGTTTTATAATTATTAATTACTGAAACCATTCGAAGAACCAGTTTAGACAATGAACCCGGATTTGATTGGAGGGAGCTGGTGGAGCTATTTAAATAAATGATTACAGCAGCGTATTTCAACATTTTTGTGTCAATTTAAACCAATGGGATTTTAATTAATTATTTAATTGGCTAATTACCGAAAGCCCTCCAGAGAGACAGTGATCTAGTTACAATAATAATGGTTTCAGTGGTTTCATATAAAATCGTCCCAACTACTATAACGATTTACATTTTTAAATGGTTTCTATGAAGTTATGTCATCTTAACATCTATTCACAGATAAGACCCGTAATTTTCTTTGAAAATGATTCATAGCTTCATTCATACTAAAACAAATATGCAGATCATTTAAATTTCGCCAATTTTGATATTGTGAGATATTGGGAAGTTTAAATTATTCAAGCTTTTCTAAGCTATAGTGTTATCTGTTATTAATAATTTGTGTTTCGTTTTCTATTTACAGTTGGAACAAAAACACGTAAATTAATGTAAACAGTCAAATTAAAACAATAAATCAACATTTGAGCTTAAATATGACATATCACAAACATGATACTATAGAATTTTGAAGTTTGAAGCGACCATTACAGTTTAAACCAAAACATTTGATTTATGGATATATGTTGTATCTTAATACTTGGCACATCTTGTATTTCAGCACGATGTCTTGTGACATCTTTCTAGGATGTCTTTCTACCAATATGTATTGAAAGGGCCACTCTATGTTTTTGAAAACATCACCTGCGTATATAAATGACTATATAAATAAAAAACTTTCAAACATATTTGATAACTATAAAATATTTGCAATTTTATTAACCGTTGTTTTGCTCTAATTTACAGTTTGTGCCGAGGTTAAAGGTATGGAGGACCCTGCTATTATACCCGCTTCCAGTATAACAGCACCGGGCGTTTCCAATCCCGAAAGCCTTAGACCAGGAAGTGCAACCACAGCTACTTTCCCTGCCCAATCTTCACCAATTAGTGTAACAATCGATTTGGCACCCATCACTGATGAAACGGTAGAAATTAAATCAGTGGAACTTGTATCACCACAGAATGTAGGATCTATCAGGGTATTTGTAATTGCAACTGGTGGTTCAGAAACAGAAGCAACTTATTTGACTGCAGTAAGTATAAACACGCTTGCTATTAAGACTCTATTCCTTAAGAGTTTTTTGTTTACAAGAACTGATGTTTTCTATTATTTTTACAGACTGATTTATCAGCACCCATTCCTAAAGCTACCTTCCCTGCTGGTACGGAAGCTGCACAAATCAGAGTCGAAGTAACCCAAACCAATAACGATTCCGAAACAAGTTTCTCTCTTGATGTTAGAGCATGTTTCGAAGGTAGGATACTAATATATTTGTAATTCAGTTTTATTATGTGTTCGACGATGAAAATATGCAAAGAAAATAAATTTGAATAATCTTCCAAGGAATTCAATCCAATTGTCGTCTATGATTCTATGGGCGTACTTCTTTTATTTTAGAAACAAGTGTGTCCGGCACATCACCCACTGAAGCAGGAACATCACCCACTGAAGCAGGAACATCTCCTACAGGTAATTGTAATTTCTGAATATCCCTAATTTCGAGTGTCAAATTTCAGATATTTATTTTGTTCAACTGCAGTCCGTTAGTTTAGAACAACCATAAGATAAATCTAGATACGTATGTAAATAAAGAAAGTCGAACAATTTTAAGCTGAAACAAAATTGGTTGAGTTACTTATCTTATCTTAACTTTTCCTTTTATTCATTTTACCAGTTGGAACAACTACACGTAAGTTTATTTTTATTTATTTTTTAAAGAAAGGGAATAATGTCCAGGCTTTATTTATATGAACACTTTCTGAATCCAACAAAATCTTTGAAGCGACCATTACAGTTTAAATATAAAAAAAATGATTTACATGCATTTGATTGATGGATGTGTGTTGTATCTTAACACTTGGCACATTTTGTATTTCAGCACGGTGTCTTGTGACAGAAGGAATGGCAAGTCCAACAGTTATACCAGCTGAATACCTTGAACAACCATCCGGATTCCCATCGACAGATGATCCAGAGAATCTGAGACCAGGTGGTGATCAATTTACAATTAACCCATCGGATGCTCCTACCAACGTCACATTTAAACTTACTGATGATGTTGAGCCCGTTGATCTGTCAGAAGTAAAACTTCCTGCCAATGACAATGTGCAAACATTTAGAGTATTTGGACGAACGGGACCTTCAGCACCATGGACACTACTTGAATCTACTGATGTAAGTCATGGTCAAACCAATACAATTTTTTCTTTTCAATTTATAAGAGTCGTACAACCATAAATTGTTTATATTCATTGATTTAATTAGATGCTTTATATGGGGAATTGTATGTGTTTCCAGTCGTTTACTTTTATTTTATTTGAATCCATCAATAAACTTTAAATTACAATATCGTTCTATCTTTAAACAGAATGATACCACTGATGATTCTCTTAAATTCCCACCTGAAGTCGTTGTCACAGAGATTATGGTTGAAATAACACCAACGGATTCGGACAAACCAGTGACGATTGATGTTAGTGTGCACGCCTGTTTTGTAGGTTCGTAGCAAATCTTTATTCTTTTTTTCTTAGATATTTCTTTATCCACATTTAATATAATTACTTTATCCGATATTAATGTTCTACTACATTTGTATCTTTATAGTTACAACTGGCACAGAAGGAACATCACCAACAGGTAAGCCTAATGAACGATTTGATAACTTGTTAAATATATTTTAGGAAATTTTATATCAGATGGAATGAAATAAAACATTGCGTGGACTCAAATAGGTCTGTAACAATAGCTGCCACGAATGTAATATATGGATAAACAGTAAACATGTAATGAATTTTGATTTAATTGAAAGGAGCGTCAATTTCCTTGACATTTGTTTAATTTGAGCAATGCAAGTGTTGACAAACAATTAATTCTTTTCTGAAATATCTGTATAACCATTTATATCTCCAGCACCCTAAACTTCGCCAACTGCACCCGGAACTTCGCCAACTGCGCCGGAACGTCTCCCACAGTTAATTGTAGTCGGACATTTTTAATCTTTACTAGAATATCATGTTAAATGTTTTTTAACAGCAGATGATATACTATTCCATATATATCTAATGGGAGTAACAATTATTTATATTTTGGTGTAGTTCGTTTACACAAATGATTATTGGATACTACTGTTTGACAGTTACACTACTCCGAGGCCCAGCCTATATTATCAGACAAGCACTTTAATTTCAGCAGTCAATGTCTTGAAAAACAAATGATTTATACATCGAGCAGCATTAACTTCGCCCAGGACCTTCTACCACAAACCCCTTGAGCAGTTAAAGAACTGATGAACAATTCATTCTTTTATAAAATATTTAATATAAAATCATTTCTGTCTCCAGCACCAGGAACTTCCCCAACTGCACCCGGAACTTCCCCGACTGCACCCGGAACTTCACCGACTGCGCCTGGAACTTCTCCCACAGGTAATACAAGTACAAACAATCAACTACATTTAATTACAATTATTTATATCTTGATGCAGCCTATTTACATAAAGCAGTAATGGTTAATGATGTCAATGTACTTGACAGTTACAGATCTTCTAGGCCCGGCTTATATTCTCGGACAAGCACTTTAATTTCAGATGGCCATGCACTTGAAAAACAATTGATTTATATATCCAGCACCAAGAATTTCGCCATCTGCGACCAGAACTTCTCCCACAAACTACTAGAGGACCGCTTATACGTATCTTGAAGCTGAAAAGTGACACCTGTATAATTACGTAATTACGATACAAAATGCCTCTCATTGGGTTACTAAAAGCTAGTATTTTTGGTGTGACGCACCCAAGAGAGAGTGAACTTTCCACAAACTACTAGAGGACCGCTTCCAGAGTGATATCTTCTTATCCAAAAACCTTGATAGAGACTACAATTTTCAAGAGATCCTTTTTCAAATTTTGTGTGAAGCTTTGGCTACATTACAGTATAATGATATTAAGCTATAGTTTTCAGCAGATTTTTTTTAAATTCCATATGAAGCATTGGGATAACCAAAGGATGAGCTCGATCAATTTTACCACTCTTGCAACAGAGGGTGTGTGTTTCATGGCAACCGATTGCTCGAGACGAGTACGAGACTGAACGTGCGTCACCGGATTGACACCCTCCCTTGTGATGGATCCCCATAGGTTACATAAGTGCCGCACCTTGTGTTTTGCATTTGATACATTTGCCTGAATGTTAGTTGCTTAGGGTGTTGTTAATTCACTGAAATGACAAGTTTAATCATTTAAACGCTTCAAATTGACAGTGCTCCAGTGGCGAAATAATGCGTTCAGCTGTCCATATAAAACATCACTATAAAATCTATATCTCGACATTGGTATAATTTTTACTAATTTGGGTTTAATTTGGTTTTATAATTATTAATTACTGAAACCATTCGAAGAACCAGTTTAGACAATGAACCCGGATTTGATTGGAGGGAATGGGTGGAGCTATTTAAATAAATGATTACAGCAGCGTATTTCAACATTTTTGTGTCAATTTAAACCAATGTGATTTTAATTAATTATTTAATTGGCTAATTACCAAAAGCCCTTCAGAGAGACAGTGATCTAGTAGCAACAATAATGGTTTTAGTGGTTTCATATAAAATCGTCCCAACTACTATAACGATTTACATTTTTAAATGGTTTCTATGAAGTTATGTCATCTTAACATCTATTCACAGATAAGACCCGTAATTTTCTTTGAAAATGATTCATAGCTTCATTCATACTAAAACAAATATGCAGATCATTTAAATTTCGCCAATTTTGATATTGTGAGATATTGGGATGTTTAAATTATTCAAGCTTTTCTAAGCTATAGTGTTATCTGTTATTAATAATTTGTGTTTCGTTTTCTATTTACAGTTGGAACAACAACACGTAAATTAATGTAAACAGTCAAATTAAAACAATAAATCAACATTTGAGCTTAAATATGACATATCACAAACATGATACTATAGAATTTTGAAGTTTGAAGCGACCATTACAGTTTAAACCAAAACATTTGATTTATGGATATATGTTGTATCTTAATACTTGGCACATCTTGTATTTCAGCACGATGTCTTGTGACATCTTTCTAGGATGTCTTTCTACCAATATGTTTTGAAAGGGCCACTCTATGTTTTTGAAAACATCACCTGCGTATATAAATGACTATATAAATAAAAAACTTTCAAACATATTTGATAACTATAAAATATTTGCAATTTTATTAACCGTTGTTTTGCTCTAATTTACAGTTGTTTGTGCCGAGGTTAAAGGTATGGAGGACCCTGCTATTATTCCAACTTCCAGTATAACAGCACCAGGCGTTTCCAATCCCGAAAACCTTAGACCAGGAACTGCAACCACAGCTACATTCCCTGCCCAAACTTCGCCAATTAGTGTAACAATCGATTTGGCACCCATCACTGATGAAACGGTAGAAATTAAATCAGTGGAACTTGTATCACCACAGAATGTAGGATCTATCAGGGTATTTGTAATTGCAACTGGTGGTTCAGAAACAGAAGCAACTTATTTGACTGCAGTAAGTATAAACACGCTTGCTATTAAGACTCTATTTCTTTAAGAGTTTTTTGTTTACAAGAACTGATGTTTTCTATTATTTTTACAGACTGATTTATCAGCACCCATTCCTAAAGCTACCTTCCCTGCTGGTACGGAAGCTGCACAAATCAGAGTCGAAGTAACCCAAACCAATAACGATTCCGAAACAAGTTTCTCTCTTGATGTTAGAGCATGTTTCGAAGGTAGGATACTAATATATTTGTAATTCAGTTTTATTATGTGTTCGACGATGAAAATATGCAAAGAAAATAAATTTGAATAATCTTCCAAGGAATTCAATCCAATTGTCGTCTATGATTCTATGGGCGTACTTCTTTTATTTTAGAAACAACTGTGTCCGGCACATCACCCACTGAAGCAGGAACATCTCCTACAGGTAATTGTAATTTCTGAATATCCGTAATTTCGAGTGTCAAATTTCAGATATTTATTTTGTTCAACTGCAGTCTCGTTAGTTTAGAACAACAATAAGATAAATCTAGATACGTATGTAAATATAGAAAGTCGAACAATTCTAAGCTGAAACAAAATTGGTTGAGTTACTTATCTTATCTTAACTTTTCCTTTTATTCATTTTACCAGTTGGAACAACTACACGTAAGTTTATTTTTATTTATTTTTTAAAGAAAGGGAATAATGTCCAGGCTTCATTTATATGAACACTTTCTGAATCCAACAAAATCTTTGAAGCGACCATTACAGTTTAAATATGAAAAAAATGATTTACATGCATTTGATTGATGGATGTGTGTTGTATCTTAACACTTGGCACATCTTGTATTTCAGCACGGTGTCTTGTGACAGAAGGAATGGCAAGTCCAACAGTTATACCAGCTGAATACCTTGAACAACCATCTGGATTCCCATCGACAGATGATCCAGAGAATCTGAGACCAGGTGGTGATCAATTTACAATTAACCCATCGGATGCTCCTACCAACGTCACATTTAAACTTACTGATGATGTTGAGCCCGTTGATCTGTCAGAAGTAAAACTTCCTGCCAATGACAATGTGCAAACATTTAGAGTATTTGGACGAACGGGACCTTCAGCACCATGGACACTACTTGAATCTACTGATGTAAGTACATGGTCATGGTCAAACCAATACAATATTTTCTTTTCAATTTATAAGAGTCGTACAACCATAAATTGTTTATATTCATTGATTTAATTAGATGCTTTATATGGGGAATTGTATGTGTTTCCAGTCGTTTACTTTTATTTTATTTGAATCCATCAATAAACTTTAAATTACAATATCGTTCTATCTTTAAACAGAATGATACCACTGATGATTCTCTTAAATTCCCACCTGATGTCGTTGTCACAGAGATTATGGTTGAAATAACATCAACGGATTCGGACAAACCAGTGACGATTGATGTTAGTGTGCACGCCTGTTTTGTAGGTTCGTATCAAATCTTTATTATTTTTTTCTTAGATATTTCTTTATCCACCTTTAATATAATTACTTTATCCCATATTAATGTTCTACTACATTTGTATCTTTATAGTTACAACTGGCACAGAAGGAACATCACCAACAGGTAAGCCTAATGAACGATTTGATAACTTGTTAAATATATTTTAGGAAATTTTATATCAGATGGAATGAAATAAAACATTGCGTGGACTCAAATAGGTCTGTAACAATAGCTGCCACGAATGTAATATATGGATAAACAGTAAACATATAATGAATTTTGATTTAATTGAAAGGAGCGTCAATTTCCTTGACATTTGTTTAATTTGAGCAATGCAAGTGTTGACAAACAATTAATTCTTTTCTGAAATATCTGTATAACCATTTATATCTCCAGCACACGGGACTTCGCCAACTGCACCCGGAACCTCACCAACTGCGCCGGAACGTCTCCCACAGTTAATTGTAGTCGGACATTTTTAATCTGTACTAGAATATCATGTTAAATGTTTTTTAACAGCAGATGATATACTATTCCATATCTATCTAATGGAAGTAACAATTATTTATATTTTGGTGTAGTTCTTTTACACAAATGATTATTGGATACTACTGTCAATTTGTTTGACAGTTACACTACTCCGAGGCCCAGCCTATATTATCAGACAAGCACTTTAATTTCAGCAGTCAATGTCTTGAAAAACAAATGATTTATACATCGAGCAGCATTAACTTCGCCACCGGCGCCCAGGACCTTCTACCACAAACCCCTTGAGCAGTTAAAGAACTGATGAACAATTCATTCTTTTATAAAATATTTAATATAAAATCATTTCTGTCTCCAGCACCAGGAACTTCCCCAACTGCACCCGGAACTTCCCCAACTGCACCCGGAACTTCACCGACTGCGCCTGGAACTTCTCCCACAGGTAATACAAGTACAAACAATCAACTACATTTAATTACAATTATTTATATCTTGATGCAGCCTATTTACATAAAGCAGAAATGGTTAATGATGTCAATGTACTTGACAGTTACAGATCTTCTAGGCCCGGCTTATATTCTCGGACAAGCACTTTAATTTTAGATGGCCATGCACTTGAAAAACAATTGATTTATATATCCAGCACCAAGAATTTCGCCATCTGCGACCGGAACTTCTCCCACAAACTACTAGAGGACCGCTTATACTTATCTTGAAGCTGAAAAGTGACACCTGTATAATTACGTGAATACGATACAAAATGCCTCTCATTGGGTTACTAAAAGCTAGTATTATTGGTGTGACGCACCCAAGAGAGAGTGAACATTCCACGGCCTTTTGTTCCAGAGTGATATCCTCTTATCCAAAAACCTTGATAGAGGCTACAATTTTCAAGAGATCCTTTTTCAGATTTTGTGTGAAGCTTTGGCTACATTACAGGATAATGATATTAAGCTATAGTTTTCAGCAGATTTTTTTAAAATTCCATATGAAGCATTGGGATAACCAAAGGATGAGATCTATCAATTTTACCACTCTTGCAACAGAGGGTGTGTGTTTCATGGCAACCGATTGCTCGAGGCGTGTAGGAGACTGAACGTGCGTCACCGGATTGACACTCTCCCTTGTGATGGATCCCCATAGGTTACATAAGTGCCGCACCTTGTGTTTTGCATTTGATAAATTTGCCTCAATGTTAGTTGCTTAGGGTGTTGTTAATTCACTGAAATGACAAGTTTAATCATTTAAACGCTTCAAATTGACAGTGCTCAAGTGGCGAAATAATGCGTTTAGCTGTCCATATAAAACATCACTATAAAATCTATATCTCGACATTGGTATCATTTTTACTAATTTGGGTTTAATTTGGTTTTATAATTATTAATTACTGAAACCATTCGAAGAACTAGTTTAGACAATGAACCCGGATTTGATTGGAGGGAGCGGGTGGAGCTATTTAAATAAATGATTACAGCGGCGTATTTCAACATTTTTGTGTCAATTTAAACCAATGGGATTTTAATTAATTATTTAATTGGCTAATTACCGAAAGCCCTCCAGAGAGACAGTGATCTAGTAGCAACAATAATGGTTTTAGTGGTTTCATATAAAATCGTCCCAACTACTATAACGATTTACATTTTTATATGGTTTCTATGAAGTTATGTCATCTTAACATCTATTCACAGATAAGAACCGTAATTTTCTTTGAAAATGATTCATAGCTTCATTCATACTAAAACAAATATGCAGATCATTTAAATTTCGCCAATTTTGATATTGTGAGATATTGGGAAGTTTAAATTATTCAAGCTTTTCTAAGCTATAGTGTTATCTGTTATTAATAGTTTGTGTTTCGTTTTCTATTTACAGTTGGAACAACAACACGTAAATTAATGTAAACAGTCAAATTAAAACAATAAATCAACATTTGAGCTTAAATATGACATATCACAAACATGATACTACAGAATTTTGAAGTTTGAAGCAACCATTACAGTTTAAACCAAAACATTTGATTTATGGATATATGTTGTATCTTAATACTTGGCACATCTTGTATTTCAGCACGATGTCTTGTGACATCTTTCTAGGATGTCTTTCTACCAATATGTATTGAAAGGGCCACTCTATGTTTTTAAAAAAAACACCTGCCACCTGCGTATATAAATGACTATATAAATAAAAAACTTTCAAACATATTTGATAACTATAAAATATTTGCAATTTTATTAACCGTTGTTTTGCTCTAAGTTTCAGTTTGTGCCGAGGTTAAAGGTATGGAGGACCCTGCTATTATTCCAACTTCCAGTATAACAGCACCAGGCGTTTCCAATCCCGAAAACCTTAGACCAGGAACTGCAACCACAGCTACATTCCCTGCCCAAACTTCGCCAATTAGTGTAACAATCGATTTGGCACCCATCACTGATGAAACGGTAGAAATTAAATCAGTGGAACTTGTATCACCACAGAATGTAGGATCTATCAGGGTATTTGTAATTGCAACTGGTGGTTCAGAAACAGAAGCAACTTATTTGACTGCAGTAAGTATAAACACGCTTGCTATTAAGACTCTATTCCTTAAGAGTTTTTTGTTTACAAGAACTGATGTTTTCTATTATTTTTACAGACTGATTTATCAGCACCCATTCCTAAAGCTACCTTCCCTGCTGGTACGGAAGCTGCACAAATCAGAGTCGAAGTAACCCAAACCAATAACGATTCCGAAACAAGTTTCTCTCTTGATGTTAGAGCATGTTTCGAAGGTAGGATACTAATATATTTGTAATTCAGTTTTATTATGTGTTCGGCGATTAAAATATGCAAAGAAAATAAATTTGAATAATCTTCCAAGGTATGCAATTCAATTGTCGTCTATGATTCTATGGGCGTACTTCTTTTATTTTAGAAACAAGTGTGTCCGGCACATCACCCACTGAAGCAGGAACATCACCCACTGAAGCAGGAACATCTCCTACAGGTAATTGTAATTTTTGAATATGCCTAATTTCCAGAGTCAAATTACAGATATCCATTTTGTTCAACTGCAGTTTCGTTAGTTTAGAACAACTATAAAATACATGTATATCTATATGCGTACGTAAATAAAAACAGTCGAACAATTCTAAGCTGAAACAAAATTGGTTGAGTTATTTATCTTATCTTAACTTTTCCTTTTATTCATTTTACCAGTTGGAACAACTACACGTAAGTTTATTTTTATTTTTTTTGTAAGAAAGGGAATATGGTCCAGGCTTCATTTATATGAACACTTTTTGAATCCAACAAAATGTGACCATTACAGTTTATATTAAAAAAAAAATGATTTACATGCATTTGATTTATGGATGTGTGTTGTATCTTAACCCTTGGCACATTTTGTATTTCAGCACGATGTCTTGTGACAGAAGGAATGGAAAGTCCAACAGTTATACCAGCTAAATACCTAGAACAACCATCTGGATTCCCATCGACAGATGATCCAGAGAATCTGAGACCAGGTGGTGATCAATTTACAATTAACCCATCGGATGCTCCTACCAACGTCACATTTAAACTTACTGATGATGTTGAGCCCGTTGATCTGTCAGAAGTAAAACTTCCTGCCAATGACAATGTGCAAACATTTAGAGTATTTGGACGAACGGGACCTTCAGCACCATGGACACTACTTGAATCTACTGATGTAAGTACATGGTCATGTTCAAACCAATACAATTTTTTCTTTTCAATTTATAAGAGTCGTACAACCATAAATTGTTTATATTCATTGATTTAATTAGATGCTTTATATGGGGAATTGTGTGTGTTTCCAGTCGTTTACTTTTATTTGATTTGAATCCATCAATAAACTTTAAATTACAATATCGTTCTATCTTTAAACAGAATGATACCACTGATGATTCTCTTAAATTCCCACCTGAAGTCGTTGTCACAGAGATTATGGTTGAAATAACACCAACGGATTCGGACAAACCAGTGACGATTGATGTTAGTGTGCACGCCTGTTTTGTAGGTTCGTAGCAAATCTTTATTCTTTTTTTCTTAGATATTTCTTTATCCACCTTTAATATAATTACTTTATCCCATATTAATGTTCTACTACATTTGTATCTTTATAGTTACAACTGGCACAGAAGGAACATCACCAACAGGTAAGCCTAATGAACGATTTGATAACTTGTTAAATATATTTTAGGAAATTTTATATCAGATGGAATGAAATAAAACATTGCGTGGACTCAAATAGGTCTGTAACAATAGCTGCCACGAATGTAATATATGGATAAACAGTAAACATGTAATGAATTTTGATTTAATTGAAAGAAGCGTCAATTTCCTTGACATTTGTTTAATTTGAGCAATGCAAGTGTTGACAAACAATTAATTCTTTTATGAAATATCTGTATAACCATTTATATCTCCAGCACCCGAAACTTCGCCAACTGCTCCCGGAACTTCGCCAAACAGTCAACTATTTAATTACAATTATTTATATCTTGATGTAGTCTATTTACACAAAGCAGTAACGGATAATGTTGTCAATGTGCTGAACAATTACAGATCTTCTATGCCCAGCTTATATTTTCAGCCAAGCACTTTTATTCCAGAAGACCATGCACTTTGTAAACAATTGATTTATATATCCAGCACCAAGAACTTCGCCATTTTCTCTACTAGTACACTTATTGAATTATAGCTACTTAATGATAGGGCATTCCAGAGTTATACACTTGCCATTTTAGGCATAATGTGATCAAATATTAGGGATCAAACGATCCTAATTGAAATATGTACAAAAATTATGGTCCCTCTAGATTTAGGTGTATTTTAAAGATATTAGATGTTTATGAGTTTGGTGTTCATCGGACATTCAGCTGCGGGGTTATGCCCCATGACCCGTAACCTTTTGAATATTATAGAGGCTACACATTTTAACATATTTTTTTCAAATTTACTTTGATGCATTGGTGTCATGACGCACCCCATAGATAGTGAACATTCCACGGCCTATTGTTCCAGAGTGATGTCCTATTATCCGAACACCTTGATAGAGGCTACGGTTTTCAACAGATCCTAATCTTAGGAATTATATTGAAGTAGACGTACAAGAGAGTGGTTTCTTTTTGCATAATTAACAATATAAATCCAATGTAAACAAATAAGAACTTTTCGTAAATTATCACAAATTATCAAATGACAATTTATTACTGATATGAATTATATCCTGATGCCCAGTTATTGAAATTGACAGTCGCTGAGCTAGTGTACATGGTGCCTATATTGCACAATTTATTCAAAATTTGTATAAACACACATGTTATTGTAATCACCCTTTCCGTCCATCGATCTGTCATTTCATTCACGCTATATCTCAACGTAATATCCCTATTTCTTTCTACAACTGTCCAAGCTGCTTGTAATGCTTACTAGAACGATATATAAAGGTCATTGTGTCTAATTGTTGTGAAACATTCGGTGAACTTGTATTATGATAAGATGATCCCTATGTCTTTGGTGGATTCCCTGCTGAAAAGAGATATTCACACTAATTGATTATAGACATCTAGTTAATTGTTTGTATAATTGTCAATTTAAAAAAAATTCTCTATATTGTTAAAGGCCCACCACAATTGACATCACCGACTGAACTAATAGCACAGCCATCACCAACTGGCCCGACAGAAGCTACTCCACCAACTCAACCAACATCACCAACAGGTATTATACATTTTTGACAATCATCTGCCGAATGAAGGACAAACATATCAGGGAATTTTGTAAGTGAGAAGTCCTAGCTATATTATAGTCAGATATTCCCAACGGTATTATACAATAAATGGCCCAATATTTGAGCTAAACTTACTGCCAATGGTAACTAATTAGCCTTTGCATTTAGGCTTTGTAGCCTAAATAAGACAAGCTGCAATTCGGCCTGCTACTTTTAATGTAAAGGATGAAAAAATGCAAACGTTTGCCGAACTAATGTAAATACCACTAGCTATGTGAACTTCGGAAATGCATGAAACTACTTAGACCGATTAAATTTTTATATTCCCAGTCCTGAATTTTAACTTGAGCTTTAGTTACCTTTTATCGCACGCTTCAAGTATGTATTAACAGAAAGCTAGTTGCTGTTTTGTAAAATACTAGCCAGGCTTAATCGATAACTCAACGAGGTTAGATAAACTTTGGGAATTATTAAATTATATACTCTTCAAAAAAAGTAGGGGATATTGAATGCAAATACCTATGCAGGTTGTGATACGATAAATAGTCATGGACACTTGACATGCTTTGAAAGTATATTCACAGTTGAAGAACTTATCGCCCCAACAGAACCAATGAGCTGTACGTGGGACACGCAATAGCCCCATACACTTCGGAGGGGTTCATTGTCAAATTTTACACTTCAAGAAAGGGTTGAACAAAATTGTACCAAGTTACAGGAATTCGATTTACACCCCAAACGATTAGAAATCGGCTATATGCAGCCCATTTGCATGCGCGACGACCGCGTCTTGTGCCAGCACATGGCAAACAGGCGTCAACGGTGTAGGCATCGTAGAAATAAGGGTAATCGTCGATGGGCGCGTGTAATGTTCTCAGATGAGTCCAGATTTACTCTGGATTTCACCGATAGGCGTGCTCGCGTTTGGAGGCGTGTAAATGAGCGTCATGCTAAAGTTAACGTCAGACAGCATGACAGATTTCGGGCGTGGATCTGTTATGACGTGGGGAAGAATCACCATGACTAGCAGAACGGACTTGCATATTGTTCAAGAAGGGGTCGCTGGTGTGTACTACCGTGATCACATCCTGACACCGATAGTTCTGCCCTTTTCTCAACGTGCAGCGTCTTCATATTGTCCATATGTCTTGGCCAGCCATGAGTCCTGACCATTCCGCTATAGAGCATGTCTGGGACATGATCGGGAGACGTGTTCGTCGACGTCAACGTCAACCGACAACACTGCATGAATTGACAGTAGCACTCCAAGAGGAGTGGGTCAGATTACCCCAAATCGTGATAGGACGGTTGATTAGGAGCATGCCACGACGAATTGCTGAATGACTGAGGATTGGTGAAGCAATTACTCATTAATAAGACAAAAATCAAAAACGTCCATTTTCACTTTTGACAGTGTGTCTCTTGGCGCGTGAAATGGGGCCGTCAGATAAGCCGCCCATATGAACTGTATATGTTCATGTGTAGGCAATTTGTCATCCTCGGTATCCCCAGTGTTTTCATTCCGCTCTACTCCATTATACACTGGGTTAATCCATAGGGTTTCCACTATTTAAAATTATCTGCCCTTCGAACCAATCAAGAAACAGTTTACAAACCAGTCGTTTCGCCTTCGATTTTATAAGGGTAATTCACAAAATTCTTGTCCATTTACTGAATGATTTATGTAAATAATGTATATATTTCTAATTCAATTATAATTAATTGTATTATCAAAATATATTTGGTATTGGTCGATAATTTGAAAACGAGCGAATAAATTGAAAACGTGTCTTCTCCCATAGATTAACCAAGGGGTTAGTGGAGATGACGAAATGGGGATACAGAGGATGGCAATTGCCCTGTTATTAACATACACAGGTTACCTCTAATAAAAACAGCAGTCCATTTCCACAATTTTATATTGTTTCTGAATATCCTCTACTTGTTTTTTTTGAAGAGTATATATAATGCGAAGGAAATAAATCCAGATTCACTGGGGCGTTTCATTGGCCAATTCAGGTGCACATAGCTTTATATGTTCGATTTTTCCGAATATTTTGTTACTACATGGGGCGATATGCTGAAATCTTGCTTGTCCATTTTAAGAAATACTGCAATTCGATTGCATATATCCAATTTGCATATTGGTCAGCCAATCGAATTGCAGTATTTCTTAAAATTTCGATTGTATCTTAGTTTAAGTTTTCGTGAATAAGGGGAGAATAAGTAGATACTTCAATTTTGATTGTCTAAGCACTAAAATTAGTCCAATATTATCCAATCAAATTACTAAAATTTGGATTTTATCTTAGTTAAAATTTCGTGAAACAGGGCCCAGGTCATTTCGGTTAAACATGTCGTTGTAAAGGAGTGTCATTCGCTATAACATTGTAATCTATATGGCGGGCACCGCAAAGAAATCCTGACAGTTGAAATTCGATATAAGAGTAGTGACAGTCAATTTTTTTTTATAAATTGTCAGATATCCTTTCACAGTCTTACACAACAACTTTTGGTCTTCGAAGGAATTATTAGTGAGCAGAAATTTGCCCATGTATCTGTTGTCGCCCGTTTCTTCAGTCAGTTATATAGAGGGATAACTCGTGTTTTCCTTTTGCGTTCGTCATTTGCGAGTGTTGAAGCATTGATTACGCATCTATCATAGCAATGATCTTTGTGATAAAATGATATCTGGAACGTGTTTAACCAATTCTATCACATATGTGATAATGACTGGCACCAATATTGTCCTTTAATTGGAGTAAGACAACAATTTATGGAAGACCAAACAGCTCTTTATTCAGTGTTCTTAGTCTTTATTTCTTAAGTTATAGTCCTTAATTCTTATTTATTCATGGGGGGGGGGGGGGTAGGTGGCTGAATGGTTAGCGTGTGCGCGCTGTATCATAAAGTCTGTCATTGAGTCAACTGGAGTGGTTTCGATTCCCCGGTTGTACGTGACAAGGATTAGGTTCGCCTGTCCAACCTCGTGGCTATTCTCCGGGTCCTCTGGTTTCCTCCAACTGCTAAAGAACCCTACGCGCAAGCGAATTATTGAAATAAAATTAAACCATATGTTAGTCCCGAAATGACCTAGTTTTTATCGAGTGGACGTTAAACCCCCGCCCCCTCTCTCTCTCTCTCTCTCTCTCTCTCTCTCACTCTCTCTCTCTCTCTCTCTCTCTCTCTCATTTCTTCATTTGTTGTCGTATTTAGACATATGTAAAATGTATTTTAATCGTATTTCAATATAAAGTTAAAATTCATTTTCGTCTACATTTACATTTCATCAGAGAAATACAACGAAAAACAAATCGGGATCAACAAATTTCCAAATACAAATAAATTTACTAAAATAAATGTTATCTTTATATTAAAATAAAATTAAATTAAACAAAAATACATTTTACAAATCTGATATGACAAATGTCTGATTTGTAAAACAAATATTGATCTTAAGATACAAATGTTAATTTTAGTGTAATGTGGAATTAAGAACTAAGAATTAAAAACACTGAATAATAAAGAGCTGTTTGGTCTTCCTAACAGTTAACCTGTACAATTATTGAATAACGAGCTGTTTGGTCTTCCATAACAGTTAACCTGTACAATAGCTGACTTTCTATGTATACAACAAGATAGGTGTTAAATTGTTATTGATGGCGCTCCAACATCTATGAAGCCAATAGATATAATTAATTGTTGTCTTTTACGAAACGAAATGGTTTCAAGCATCGTTGGTGTTAATTCTAAATGTGATCGGCAATACTGTTTCATTCCGAAGCAAATGCTTCCAATCGTCTTCTTCTCTGGACTCAGAGAAGATGGTTCGTTATACTATAAATCCAGAGCTTGACGCTGTCACAGTGTTTTCCCTTTTCAAGTGCCATTAGTTTTGTTTTCAAGCCTTGAGGAAACAGTAATAAATCTAATGTTGATATGTCATTGGTATGGTTTATGATGATCCAAATTCTATTAAGCTACCATTAAAACAGATTTACCTTTCGCTTCATGCCAGATATCTGAGGAAGTGCTTCGTATTCACCAGGTTTTCGCGGATCTATTTACCGATTTGAGTAGCCAACTGTATATCATATTCCTGGAGTCATAGTACGGGGCAAATGAGACAGTCCTAAAATAGACGGTAAAAAAAAGATAAAAGAAAAAATATCTCACTACGTTAGAATTAACAGTACAAGGCCAGTCAACAGGATCAAGTGTTTTCGTTTGTCTGATACTTAAACAGATTGGTGTGAACTTGGCGTAAAATGCATATAGTAACGTTTGGCTACAGGTACATACATTTTGCCAAGTCACTTGATGTGCTCTTTTACTTCTTTCAGCACGGTGTCAGGAGGTTAATGGTATGGAAAACCCCGCACTTATACCAACCAGCAGTGTGGAAGGTTTGAAGCCTGAGGACGTAGAAAAACTTAATCCAAACAATGGTCCTTTAACAATATTAATAGAAAATGTGACACTTGTTTTTACGGTCGATCTAACGCCAAATGCAAATGATGAAGTTGAGTTGGGATCTGCTGCTTTTATTAACGCAGAAAAAATTTCTAGTGTTGAAATAACACTGATAGATTCGAATGGTGCGGAGACACAAGTAACAAATGCAGTAAGTTTTTAATGTTTTTTGTTTATTACCATGTCCGCTCTCTTGTGCCCAAGATTGCCTAATTAGATTAATATAATCTATACCATACGTATTTGGTATCGAGTAAATCTGAACGTTATGGAATAGCACTTATCTTCTCCTCATCATACTACTTCAGTCATATTGAACCAAAAATATGGTAAAAAAAGTTACGGGTTACATGTGCAGTGCGTTGTGGTATAATCTTGCCAGGAAGGCGTCGTTTTATGTTAATTCCGATGTCTAGGATTTTGTTGTAAGTACATGCAGTAATCAAAGGTGGCTTTTGTAATCGTGTCAACCGTAGTGTCTAAAAAGTGCTTTCGTGTACAAAAAAACGTGTTTGATCGCCAAATCAAACCATTTTCACCCATACCAATCATGCGCGAATGTACGTTCTTGCATCCGGAAATCCTTTGTTATGACGTGCACTGCTCAGGACACCATCCTTTCATAAGGATTTGACAAAAATGCATTTTGAAGATGTATCTTCAGATTTTAACGACACTGATGAATAACTGGCCGAAGTTTATGTCAGATGACTACATCCGTATCACAGTTCGTTGCCCTGTATGCTGAGGACCAAATGAAATGTTTACCAAAATTACGGCAAAAGAACCTGAAGCAGCGGATGCTAAACGGCATACATATGATGTCGGCTAATACGCCTTAATGCACCAGCTCTTTAAACACCACCAGTTTAACTTTAACATTTTTGTGATCTTTACACCCTGGCCCCGTTACCTTTCGCCAATATATTCCAAGTCAATTTACCTTGTGCTAATTTAAAATATTTAACACTGTATTCTTATAGCATTGTCCCAGCTACGTTCTGTTCAAATTTCATACCATATCGATTACTAATAACAAAGTTTGGGCACTTTGAAGTCATGACATCATATTTTTGTACGAAAAAATCAAAAGCATAATCGCTTGCCTAGTATATAACTGCCACGTTTCATTGTATTGCGAACAAGCATGATCACGTTTTTAGTTGGTGCCCACAAGAATAAAAAGACAAAGATTTAAGCACCGGTTATCCCGCTGTAATATAATCACATACAAATCCATAACCATAAGAACGTCGCTTTAACCATTGAGAACAATAATTTTCTTAAGAACGACGTGCCCACCTTCCCCTCTCTCTCTCTCTCTCCCTCTCTCTCTCTCTCTCTCTTACTCTCTGCCTGTCTGTCTATCCCTCTCTTTTTTTCTCTCCCAATCTCTCTTTCTCCCACTCTCTTTCCCTCTTTTAAAGTACATTTCGCTCATTTGTGGACTATGGTAAAACGAAAGAAGTGTAACTATTGATTTTAAGATTTGTAACAAAGAACCTTCATTGATACGTTTCAGCCTGGAGTTTCTGAACCGACACTTAGCGTACAATTCCCAGCAACAACTAAAGCTGACAAGATAAGATTCACTGTGACACCTTCGGTTGTTGGCGAACCGATTAAATTCAGCTTAGATATAAGAGCCTGTTTTGAGGAGACCGCCACAACACCAACTTCACAAACAGGTCGGTATTATGATATACTTTTAATTATATATTTATTTAACAGACTACGGTTACAGTGCATAAAAATGTATTCTAAACGAGGTTTATTGTTGTAGCGCATTGTTTTTGAATCAATAATTTTTAAGTCTCTGTGTTGCCAACATATCAAAGATGTGATATATTTTTGAGACAGTTTCAGTAATTTGTATGAAATTTATAGATTCTTCAACTGTCTGTAACTTTAAGGGTAATGGGTTGTATGAAATCGAGACATCTTACAGTTTTACATAGACTGTTTTACAGATGTGGTGTAATGTGATGAACAATATGATTACCTTTAAGGTCACGTCCAGTATTGTTCTATGTATGACGCCACATAATATTGCGTTGATAACAAATGCGCGGTTTCTTTTCTTATTTTATGCGCCCATTCACACTAATTGGGAAATATTTTTTATCCAGAAACACCTATATATTTTTCTTAATAATTAAACATTTGTTTTGGAATTTTATTTGCAGAAGAAGAAATGTTAATAACGATGGCTAATTAGTTTCGATGTCCCTAAAATGTATTGGGACCCTTTCTATACGCACACATGGAAATCTAATTATATTCTAGAAAGCACCATGTAGTGAGAGTCAGCTTTTCCAAAAATCTCGCCCCCATCCCTGACACTCTTTCATATTTTATTTTGTTTTTTGAGCGCAACTGTTTTCAATAAGATACTGTCATCCAAGAAACGTACTGTTTGTGCTGCGACTCTTCAAATACGTTACACTGTATTTTAGTATATAAACTATATATAATATATATTTTATCTCATTGCTAACTACAGTTCAGCCTGGAACATCACCAACTGTTGGTCCACCTGGTACAGTAACATCAACACGACCACCAGAAGCTTCACCAACAGGTAATACTCCCCTGGCACAACTATGCTAAAAATTTCTTTTTGGGTCGTCTATGCCCAAAATGCACGTGTACAGCTATGCAAATATGCACAAGACACTATATCGGCACAATATTACATAAGTGAGAAACTGCGACAACTATGCACATAACATACCCTGTCACAACTCTGCACCACGCGTGCACTGAAACAGATATGCACAAAATACATAGTGCCACTGCAAAGTTACAACCATACACGAAGCACGGGATGCCACAATACAGATTCGTGTGATAAGATTATAATCAATGGACCTTGTTTTTTTCTGTTTTATTTAGGATACAGCTCATTTCGCTTAGACAAATGCATCGATATAAAAAAAATGTCTTTTAAAACGAAACGCCCCACCACGTGCATGACTTGTTCAACAACACATCAACATAAAGTCTGTGTCATAGCCTTGACATGATTAGTTCACCACCTTCGCAAAGATTACTAATTGAAAGCATGCTCGGTACCTATATGGTCAGAAAAGGACTCAACACCCGTAAAATGTCATTCATATTGATTTGTTAAACAAACCTAAACGTTCATGTGGTAAATATATAGAAAATACTGAACATTTATTCTTAGGCTGACGGTGGTAAGATGCAATTCGTGATGAACTATTGAATTATCCTGTTTTTAAAAGCATATATATATTTTATTATTGGATTATACGAAATTATCAAGTGATTTCACTAAATTGATAAACATACACGACCACAAAGCTGTATTGTCTCGTCGCCCCTGTCCAACCGGACGTCCGTTCACATTTATTTCTGGACAATATACCGCTCACAATTTTTAAACGATTTTGAGGAAACTAGAAATGTATGATTATAATCCAAAGATTTAAAATTATATATTTCGAATGTGTAGCCCATTTGCACATAGCAGTTTTAGATGATATTGTCATTTTTACCGACTCGCTAAATCTATTTTCAGACCAAAAGTTTAACATCGTCTGTTTTACATACCAGCGGCAATCATTTTTATATCAACACAAATACTATTTTGGCCTTTTCATATGTCATCTATCTATGTCCTTAAATGTAAATAATGTACTTTATTAGTATAATTGTATATAGTTTAATTTACAATAGCCTATTTTTGAAAAAAAAAGAAAGCTGTAACTTAAATACAATAAACTGTAACTATAAAAGCGACAATTCCTGATCTGTATGTACAGTCCTCAGGATCAAGCGAGAGAGAGAGAAATGGGGTTTAACGTCCACTCCACACAAACTAGGTCATTTCGGGACTAACATGTGGTTTTTAATTTTATTTCAATAATTCGCTTGCGCGTAGGCGTCTTTAGCAGTGGGAGGAAACCGGAGGACCCGGAGAAAACCCACGAGGTTCGACAGGCGACCCTACTTCTTGTCACGTACAACCGGGGATTCGAAACCACGCCAGTCGACTCAATGGCAGACTTTGTGATACAGCGCGCGCACGCTAACCATTCAGCCATCCAACCCCCCTCAGGATCAAGCTTTGTAACTCATAACGCAAAAGGGTGTAATAGCATTATACAATTACAATTACATATTTCGAAGGTGTAGTCTATGTCCTATACCACTGTAAAGTGGAATCACGCCGGAAAATTCCCGATTAGTTTTATCGGCCAACGCAGTGATCGAACACGAGACCTCAGCCTTAGCGAGTCAACGTCGTATTCACTACCAGAAAAGTAGGACATTAAACCCAATTTCCGGAGTGATTCCTCTTTGACAGTGGTGCAGGACGGGAGTGCGGGGGGGGGGGACTCCTGGCAATGGATAACGTATAGTCGTTTGGATGGGACGAAAAACCGAGGCCCCACTTACATATTGGCGTACTCGTAAAAGACCCCCGGGCAGTTGGAATTTGATATAAGAGTAGGCCGTAGCGTCGCTATCCGGGTAAAGTTTCCCCCATAGTACACTACACTAGCGACGCTACGGCCTACTGTTATATCGAATTCCAATTGCCAAAGGGTCTTTTACGTGCACACTAATGTATAAACGGGACCTCTGTTTTTCGTGCCATCTGAACGACTAGGCAGCTGTCCTTGTCAGACTCTCCTTCCTGTACCTCTGACAATGGGAAACCACGTCTTAAAATATTGATGAACTTTCTCGGCCAACACCGGGGGCGAACCCGCGACGTCCAGGCCAGCAAGCTAGCCTCTTACTCACTTATCCACTGTGGCTCACGGAGCTGAACAATTGAACGTTAAAGCTCATTTCATTTCATTTTCCTACTTTTCCGAACCAATCGGACTATTGAAGATAGGCATATGTTATGCAGGGTGATATGACGGAAATTACTAATGGACCGTGGAATTTCATCCTCGAATTTCAACTGTGAAATATTTTTTTATGTCCACGCCAATGTATACACAGGAGGTTGTTGGTTTTTTTTTGTCCTATCTACAATACTAGAGACTGTTCTTTGCCAGACCCTTTGTCATGCACTACCGACATGGAGAAACCGCGCTGCAAAATCCGCGGGAACATAATCATAGTACTGAGAGGAATATTGCCGATAACCCGACACCTCGACAACCCGACACAACGACATCACGACATTTTAACACGACAATAGGACATCTTTACGCGACATTACGACATTTTCAATGTCGTGGTGTCGGGTGAAAATGTTGTTTTGTCGGGTTAAAATGTCAAGGTGTCGTGATGTCGGGTTGTCGTGGTGTCGGGTTAAGATGTCGTGATGTCGGGTTGTCGGATGTCACCACGACATCCCGACATGATACCTATCAACCACCATATATATTTGAACGATTTTGAAAATAAGATAAAAATTACTACCTTTTTCGTACAATCCATGTCAATAATTCAGAAAGTTGCGGCCCGATAAGCGCAATTCGGAAATAAATTGTGATTTACCAGTCGTACCATGCGATAGAGTACCATCGGGATAGTTCAAGGATGGCTGATACTTGTGTAGATTTGTCTGAAAAAAAGTATAGACAAATAATTCATTCTTTTCTAAAATACCTAATATAAAATCATTTCTGTCTCCAGCACCAGGAACTTCGCCAACGGCAGCCGGAACTTCTCCAACTGTACCCGGAACTTCACCGACTGCTCCTGGAACTTCTCCCACAGGTAATAGAAGAACAAAAAGACAACTATTTTAATTACAATTATTTATACCAGAATTTGGGCTATTTACACAAAGCAGTATTGGATAATGTTGTCAATGTGCTTGTCAGTTACAGCTCTTCACGGCCCAGCTTATACTTTCAGACAAGCACTTTAATTTCAGACTTGAAAAACAAATCATTAATATATCCAGCACCATGAACTTCGCCATCGGCGCCCGGGACTTTTCCCACAAACTACTACAGGGTCTCTTATAGTTATGATGAAGCTGGAAATTTCAATAAAATCAATACTTACAAATGGATCAATAATTATATTTTTAACACATAGCTAACGTTTTCGCCCACAGCACTTGGGGCATCCCCAACTGTAGCGCCACCCGAAACATCACCTACAACAGCGCTACCTGGAACCTCACCCACTGTTCCACCACCAGTGACTTCTCCAACTGTTCCACCACCAGGAACATCCCCAACAGCAACGCCACCTGTAACATCACCGACTGCTCCACCGCCTGGAACATCACCTACTGCTCCACCACCCGGAACTTCCCCTACTGCTCCACCACCGGGAACATCACCTACTGCTCCACCACCTGGAACATCGCCTACTGCTACACCGTCTGGAACATCACCTACTGCCCCACCTCCAGGATCTTCACCTACTGCAGCACCATTAGGAACATCGCCCACTGCACCTCCACCAGGCACTTCTCCCTCTGTCCCACCGCCTGGCACGTCGCCTACAGGTAATATTCATCACTAGATTTGTTTTACCATTTGTCAATTGAATTGACCAAACCCATCGCTTTTGAAGCACCATCCACCTACAAACGAAATATTTTTCTATGGCTGACTAGCATATTATCCACTGATATCAATCTTTATTTTACCGCATACTATTCTTAATGGGGTTCCATCACCATCCCAAACATTTTCATATTACTACCTACTCTATTTGATGCCTTATAAAAGCACCATTTACATATCCAAATCTACAGTCACCAGGAACATGTTGTGTAATTCATAAGGATGGTATAGCAGACCACTCAAGTCTTTCGTGGTGTAGTTTATTTCCACAAAGCAGTTTTGTGTGATATTGTCAATTTGCTTAACAGCTACAGGTTTTCGAAGCTCCATACTAGTTCAAGTACTGACAAACAATCCATTCGTTTCTTAAATATCTAAGATAAAATCATTTCTATCTCCAGCACCAGGAACTTCACCAACTGCACCCGGAACTTCGCCAACTGTGCCCGGAACCTCTCCCACAGGTAATAGCAGCACAACAATTATTTATATCTTGGTGTAGTCTATTTATACTAATCAACATGGGTTAATATTGTCAATTTGTTTGACAGTCACACTTCTTCGAAGTCCAGGTATATTTTCAGATAAGCAGTCGAAGCCTTTAAAAACCAACAATTTATTTATCCAGCACCATTAACTGCCCCCGGAAATTCTCCCACAGTTAAATGCATAACAACGGCGACCGGTAATTTCCGCAAAGTTAAATGCAGATTTTCTTTACAATTTTTTATTTAGTGGTGTAATCTCATTACAAAAAGATATTACCAGTTTGCCTGACAGCTAATCTTTGTCGACACGCCAGATCCGTCAACAGAACAACACTTGAAATTATTTACAAAAATATTTAAGGCCAAGATTTAACACCTGCGTTGATTCTATTATGAAAATCAATTAGATTGGTACTTGCCACTCCGTCCTGGTTGCCAGTTGGTTAAATCCATATTAAATATGTAGGGTTAGGGTTATCATTTCTATACCCAGCACAAGGGACTTCCCTAACGGCATCCGGAGCCATAGGTAAATAGGACAACAAGTCAACTATGCGATTATAAATATAAAGCAGAGGCGGATAAAATTTCAAATTGCTTTATAGTTACACTTTTCAGAAAAGTACTTGAATATAAGTTTTTAAAGTATAGACAAACAATTCATACTCTTCTAAAATACCTAATATAAAATCATTTCTGTCTCCAGCACCAGGAACTTCGCCAACGGCAGCCGGAACTTCTCCAACTGTACCCGGAACTTCACCGACTGCGCCTGGAACTTCTCCCACAGGTAATAGAAGAATAAAAAGTCAACTATTTTAATTACATTTATTTATATCAGAATTTGGGCTATTTACACAAAGCAGTATTGGATAATGTTGTCAATGTGCTTGTCAGTTACAGCTCTTCACGGCCCAGCTTATACTTTCAGACAAGCACTTTAATTTCAGACTTGAAAAACAAATCATTAATATATCCAGCACCATGAACTTCGCCATCGGCGCCCGGGACTTTTCCCACAAACTACTACAGGGTCTCTTATAGTTATGATGAAGCTGGAAATTTCAATAAAATCAATACTTACAAATGGATCAATAGTTATATTTTTAACACATAGCTAACGTTTTCGCCCACAGCACTTGGGGCATCCCCAACTGTAGCGCCACCCGGAACATCACCTACAACAGCGCTACCTGGAACCTCACCCACTGTTCCACCACCAGTGACTTCTCCAACTGTTCCACCACCAGGAACATCCCCAACAGCAGCGCCACCTATAACATCACCCACTGCCCCACCGCCTGGAACATCACCTACTGCTCCACCACCCGGAACTTCCCCTACTGCTCCACCACCTGGAACATCACCTACTGCTCCACCACCTGGAACATCGCCTACTGCTCCACCGTCTGGAACATCGCCTACTACTCCACCGTCTGGAACATCACCTACAACAGCGCTACCTGGAACCTCACCCACTGTTCAACCACCAGGGACTTCTCCAACTGTTCCACCACCAGGAACATCCCCAACAGTAGCGCCACCTGTAACATCACCCACTGCCCCATCGCCTGGAACATCACCTACTGCTCCACCACCCGGAACTTCTCCTACTGCTCCACCACCTGGAACATCACCTACTGCTCCACCACCTGGAACATCGCCGACTGCTCCACCGTCTGGAACATCACCTACTGCCCCACTTCCAGGATCTTCACCTACTGCAGCACCATTAGGAACATCGCCCACTGCACCTCCACCAGGCACTTCTCCCTCTGTCCCACCGCCTGGCACATCGCCTACAGGTAATATTCATCACTAGATTTGTTTTACCATTTGTCAATTGGATTGACCAAACCCATCGCTTTTGAAGCACCACCCACCTACAAACGAAATATTTTTGTATGGATGATTAGCATATTATCCACTGATATCAATCATTATTTTACCGCATACTATTCTTAATGGGGATCCATCACCATCCCAAACATTTTCATTTTACTACCTACTCTGTCTGATGCCTTATAAAAGCACCAATTACATATCCAAATCTACAGTCACCAGGAACATGTTATGTAATTCATAAGGATGTTATAGCAGACCACTGAAGTCTTCTATACAATTATAATTATTTATTTCGTGGTGTAGTTTATTTACACAAAGCAGTATTGTGTGATATTGTCAATTTGCTTAACAGCTACAGGTTTTCGAAGCTCCATGTCAGTTTTCAGACAAACACTTTAAGTTGACTAGTTCAAGTACTGACAAACAATCCATTCATTTCTTAAATATCTAAGATAAAATCATTTCTATCTCCAGCACCAGGAACTTCACCAACTGCACCCGGAACTTCGCCAACTGTGCCCGGAACTTCTCCCACAGGTAATAGCAGGACAACAATTATTTATATCTTGGTGTAGTCTATTTATGCTAATCAACACTTCTTCTGAGCCCATGTATATTTTCAGATAAGCAATCGAAGCCTTTAAAAACAGACAATTTATTTATCCAGCACCATTAACTGCGCCCGGAAATTCTCCCACAGTTAAATGCATAACAACGGCGACCGGTAATTTCCGCAAAGTTAGATGCAGAACAACAAGATTTTCTTTACAATGTTTTATTTAGTGGTGTAATCTCATTACAAAAAGATATTACCAGTTTACCTGACAGCTAACTTTTGTCGACACGCCAGATCCGTCTTCAGAACAACACTTGAAATTATTTTCTAAAATATTTAAGGCCAAGATTTAACTCCTGCGTTGATTCTATTATGAAAATAAATTAGATAAAGATGAAATCACTTCTGTTTCTAGCCCCTGGGACTTCTCCCACTGCGACAGCTCCTTTCCCCCAAAGTTAAATGCAGAACAACAAGTCTTACATTGCAATTTTTTATTTAGTGATGTAATCTACTTACAAACAGATATCACCGCTAAGCTTTGTCGACACCTCAGTAATAAAAACAATACATTTCTGAAGTATTTAATGCCAAGATTTAATATCTGCGTTGATTCTATTATGAAAATAAATAAGATAAATATGAAAACATTCTATTATTTTCTAAAATATTTAAGGCCAAGATTTAACTCCTGCGTTGATTCTATTATGAAAATAAATTAGATAAAGATGAAATCACTTCTGTTTCTAGCCCCTGGGACTTCTCCCACTGCGACAGCTCCTTTCCCCCAAAGTTAAATGCAGAACAACAAGTCTTACATTGCAATTTTTTATTTAGTGATGTAATCTACTTACAAACAGATATCACCGCTAAGCTTTGTCGACACCTCAGTAATAAAAACAATACATTTCTGAAGTATTTAATGCCAAGATTTAATATCTGCGTTGATTCTATTATGAAAATAAATAAGATAAATATGAAAACATTTCTATTTCTAGCTCCTGGAACTTCGCCCACTGCACCTGGAACTTCGCCCACAGGTAATAGTAATACAATATTTATCCCCCGCCTTTCGACGAAAGCACAGGACTACTTGAATAGGTTGAATGCCGTAATGAAGTTCGAAGAGAAGCATGTTCTGCTTAGACTAAGTAGAGATGTGATTGGTTGATGCTTTTGGACATGATAACTTTAGTTCTAATTGGTTGAACGTGATGAATCTCAGAGTATGGAGGCAATACCTTGACTAACTTGAATGGTGAAAATTATCGGCGTAGGCTAAGTAACGATAAGCGATTTAATTGGTTATAACAACTCTACTTTTAATTGAGATAAAATGTTTAAACATGGTGTAGATGTCCATTAGGTGAATGTCTTGACTGGGTTCAATGATTAATATTTACCGCTAAAGCTAAGCAGACAGAGCTAAGCAGATTCATTGGTCGATGCTTTGGGACAAGATTACTTTGATACTAACTGATGGAGAGTGATGAAACTTAGTGTAAAGTTTCACTCCCAGGTAACCTACTTCAAAACATTGAACATTTTCTACTCAGACTAAGCGCAGGTGATAACAGGGTCTGCCTGTAATTGATATGCATGAAATCACCATAACAAGTTTCTCAGTTTCTTTTACCGCCACAGGAAAATCTCAAACAGGAACTTTGTACGAATCCGTTAAAGGATATTATAATTCTCTCAAGAAAGAATATTTAACTCTCTAGGCCTCTTCCATGAAGTCTGTGAAAATTGAATCCATATTTCATTGGAGTTAACATTTATTCTTTCGCATTTTTTTCAGAGAGATGCGAAGAGATAAATGGAATGGAGAATCCAGCATTGATACCAAGTTCAAGTGTTGAGGGTTTAACGCCTGACCAAGTGGATAATCTAAGAACAAGCGATGTCCCGTTATCTATCATGCCCGACGGCATCAGTCCTATACTATTTACCATAGATCTTTCACCTAATACCGATGAGGGTGTCGATCTGGGATCTATCACATTCCCGAATGCTGAGAATATCGAATCTATAGAAATAGCGCTGATTGATTCACAGGGCAATGAAACTCCTGTAACAGACCAAGTAAGTCTTAAGTCTCAAATGCTATATTCGAAGTAAATTTGGTAAAACAAATAGGTGCTTTGCATTACGTTACTTGGCCTAAGAATATTAGTTTTTGAATATATGTATATGGATACTTACTGTGCATAAAGAGTGTAAATCATTTATTTTTTGACAGTGTGAAAGAAGAGTGTTTTATTAATGAGTGTATGAACTACAAAGTACTTTATGTATATATCATAAAATTTAGTGATTGGTTCCAGTAACCAAAGCTCAAAAGATACAAGTTACTCTGGTGCCAACGAATGATTAAGTTCCTGTCAGATTTAATTTTTATTTCATATTAAGTCGCGGCATTTTTATTGTATGTCTTGAAAACCTCGGCCGAAACGTGTAGTTAAAGAACAGTACCCTTTTAAAGCATTATAATCCCTTTTGCTTAATATTATCTCTTTTGCCACGGTTTCAATTGGCAATATAAAAATGGTCTGTTTGTATAACCATAGGCTGGTCTCCAGGACCCGATACCAAAAGCTGATTTCCCTCCAGAAACCAAAGCTCAAAAGATACGAGTAACTATTTTGCCAACAAATGCTTCAGCAGCTGTTAAATTTAATTTGGATGTAAGAGCATGTTTTGAAGAGACTGCCACAGAAGGAACATCTCCCACAGGTTGGTCCTATTTATGTTTAAATGCGTAATCTGGAAATACTTTACCGACAAATACGGCATATATCAAAGTTATCAGTAAGTTGGCAAATGCAATCTAAACAATGAACAGAATTGTAAACATTATATTTTTATGTCAGAATGGTCTTAATCTCTATGGTATTGTTTGCTTAAAATATATATATTTGAAATAAGCTTCCGTATCTAAAAGTATATAACATACGCTTTCACCCGAAGTATCTGAAACATCCCCAACTGCAGCGCCACCTAAAACATCACCGACTACAGCGTCACCTGGAAAATCTACTCGCATATTCCATTAGCAATATACCTGGAACATTTCTTTTATATTAAAGAGTTAAATGAGCCTTGATAATTGATAGAAAATGCAGACCGTTATACCTGGTAATCACGGCAAATTCGCCATGAAGATGTGTTCTCTTGTCTGATGCAATAGTATAATAAATTTTGTATTGGTATGCACAATGGCACCAAACACTACTGAATCATTTCATCATAAACCTCCTAAGATATTGGTGCTATTGTACTTTTAGGAATAATATATCAATGAAACAAAGAATTACAAACTGATAAATAATTATCTTTCTAATACATAGCTAACGTTTTCACCCATAGCACCTGGAACATCCCCAACTACAGCGCCAACTGCAACATCACCTACTGCTCCACCACCCGGAACGTCCCCTACTGCTCCACCACCTGGAACATCCCCAACTGCTCCACCACCAGGAACATCGCCAACAGCAGCGCCACCTGGTACATCACCTACTGCTCTACCACCTGGAACATCGCCTACTGCTCCTCCGCCTGGAACATCACCTACTGTCCCTCCTCCAGGAACTTCACCTACTGCAGCACCACCAGGAACATCGCCTACTGCACCGCCACCAGGTACTTCTCCATCTGTCCCACCACCCGGCACATCGCCTACAGGTAATATTCATGACTAGATCTTTTTTGCCATTTTTCCATTGAACTGACCATGCCCATGGCTTTGGAAGCACCACCCACCTACATACGAAATATGAAATACGCGTTTTTTCCGTGGATGACAAGCATATTATCCACTGATATCAATCATTATTTTACCCAATACTATTCTTAATGGGGTTCAATCTCAAGCATTTTCATATTACTACTTGCTATACTTTATGATTTTTGAAATGTCGCCTTTCCTATCCATTAAATGTATATAATGTGTTATATTGGTATATTCATATATGGTTTAATTTACATTAGCATAGTTTTTGAGAAACAACAACAACATTGTTTGAATGCAACATCCTGTCATATAAAAGCACCAATTACAGATCCGAATCTACAATCATCAGGAACAGCTTATCTAATTTATAAGGATGTTATAGCAGACCACTAAATTACAATTATTTATTTCGTGATGTAGTTTATTTGCACAAAGAAGTAATGTGTGATATTGTCAATTGGCTTGACAGCTACACGTTTCCGAAGCTTCAGGCCAGTTTTCAGACAAGCACTTTAATTTGACCAATTCAAGTATTGACAAACAATTCTTTCTCCACTGAAATATCTAAGATAACATTATTTCTATCTGTAGCACCAGAAACTTCCCCAACTGGACCCGGGACTTCACCAACTGTGCCAGGAACTTCTCCCACAGGTAAATTATGCAAGTACAATTATTTTTTTCTTGGTGTAGTCTATTTACATAAAGCAGAATTGGAGGTTATTGTTTTTTCTTGGTGTAGTCTATTTACACAAAGAAGCAATGGATAATATTACTAAAGAGCTTGACAGTTACACTTCTTCAGTCAAGCACTTTAATTTCAGCAGTCCAAGTCTGAAAAACAAATCAATTATATATCCAGCACCAAGAACTTCGCCATCGGCGCCCGGAACTTTTCCCGCAAACTACTTGAGGCCTCTTGTAGATATGATAAGGCTGAAAAGTGATATCTGAATAATTAAGTGTGATGATATTTAAAAGGGTTTATCGCTAATAGAAAACTAGTTACTCCAAGTTCCTGTTTTCGTGATCGTGCATTTTCCGTGAATTTAATTCTAAATATCGTGTATTAGCTATAGTTTACATTATTAACTTCATATTCTGTAAATTTGACTACATGGAATTCAATATCAACTAATAGAAAACTAGTCACTCCAAGTTCCTTTTTTCATGAGCATGCCTTTTCCTCGAATTACAGTTGTCTGTACTGAAGTAAATGGAATGGATAATCCTGCTATTATCCCTACATCAAGTATTACAACTGTGCCAGCAGCAACTGATGTAGAAAACCTGAGACCAGCAAGTACAGACCCAGCCACCTTCCCTGCTGGAAGTACACCAGATGTAACAATTGATTTGACACCAGTCACAAATGAAGAGGTAGAACTTAAATCAGTGCAGCTTGTATCGCCCGATAATGTTCAATCTATTAGAGTATTTGTAACTCCAACTGGCGGTTCAGAAACAGAAGCTGCATACTTGAACCCAGTAAGTACATTTTGTTTCGTCTTGATATTATGTGTGTTTATGTACACATCGTTCTGGCTTGGTGTAGCAAGTATTGCTACAGACAAAGACTGACAATGTCAGCTGTATGTTTATTCCGTTTATTCCTGTACTCAGTATCGGAACGACTCCGACATCTGAATACATAACAATAGACAGTGGCGAGACTTTTGATTAAATATAAGAGGCTACCCCCCCCCCCCCCACAATGTTTATCCAAGCCACAACCAAATATCACCTACATCACTGCCCAATTAATTTTAATTTGTCTATAGCATTGTCTTTCTCAACATGTTTCTTTTCGAGATTCCTAATTGATGTGTATTTTAACCTGTGATTTGCATTGTTTTTAAGGCTGATTTATCGTTACCTATCCCTAAAGCTTCATTCCCTGCTGGAACAGTAGCCGAAAAAATCAGAATCGAAGTAACACCAACCTCTTCAGGCCAGCCTACTTCTTTTAAGATTGATGTCAGAGCGTGCTTTGAAGGTATATAATATTAAATAGTCGACTGATTGGGACAATGTAGGGTCGTATGGTGCACTCCTGTCGTTCAAATGAGAACTGTAATACTCAATCATTTTGAACTGATATAAATATTAAACCAATGGACGGGCAATATGAAACCAACTAACCACATGGGTTCCTCGATTTCCTGCAAGTGCTAAAGACCCGTGATGCATCCAAGTTATTACTTGACATGTTATGTTTTGATCATTTTAGAAACAATCACCTACTGTAACTAACATCCTGTTTATTAATTATTTTAGAAACAGCCGGACTCGGTACATCACCTACAGTAGCAATTGGAACATCACCTACAGTGGCAATTGGGACATCACCAACCTGTAATTATATATATTCAACTTTTTTCTTTTCTGTATCCGACATTAGTTTATATTAAGATATGTCTTCTTAATTTCTGGCTTGTACTATAAAAACATATGCAGATATGTTCAATTTTACCAATCTTGCTATATAATTTGGAAGGTTTAATACTTTTCTTGCTCTTGTATAAACAAGCTATAGTACCAGGGTTTGATAGAGATTAACCAGTCAGTTAAAGCAGCGTTGTTTAAATTACTCAAGCTTTCAGAAACGATTCTGATATTCTATTAAAATATTTATTTATTATTATTTACAGTGGGATCAACTACACGTAAGTTAATGTATACAGTCATGTTTAAATCATAAATCATAACAATATAAACGTCGTTCAACAATTAAACATTGGACTTGAAATATCATAAACATATATTATATTTTATCATTCTATCCTATAATGTCTTTAATTATTAGCAATCAACAATCAATTGTCTTTTTTCCAGCACGATGTGTTGTAACAGAAGGAATGGGAAGCCCAACAGTTATACCTGATACTTACCTTGAACAAGAACCTGCCTTCCCATCGACAGATAACCCAGCAGATCTGAGACCAGGCGATGATCCATTTACAATTAACCCATCGGACACGCCTACCAACGTCACATTGAAAGTTACTGGGGGTGAACCCGTTGATCTGTCAGAAGTAAATCTTCCAGTCAGGGAAAATGTCAAGACATTTAGAGTATTTGGACGCACGGGACCTTCAGCACCATGGACCCTACTTGAATCTACTGATGTAAGTATTCGGATCTTTAACAATTAAGAAATGACGCTGCTTAAGTCCAAATTCAGATATGTTACAATTTCAAATGTATTTTATTCTTTATAATTCCTTTGGTGTTTATGTTTGGACGATACCACGAAATATTTATTTTTGGGGATAGCCATGTTAGATATGTTGAATATCTTGTGTTTATTTATATATGCTAACAGGATGATCCTTCAGACGGTATTCTTACATTCCCACCGGAAGTAGTTGTCACAGATATTTTGGTAGAGATAACACCCACAAACATTACCGAACCAATTAATATTGATGTTAGTGTACACGCTTGCTTCGTAGGTGAGTATCTTCTATATTCTGAACTTTAAGTGGACCACCAAATTTGTAAAGGAGTATCAACCTTTCTCATCTGTGCTATAAATCCGACCTGTATAAAGCATTAATCTATCTCTCTCTCTCTTTATCGTACAAAATACAACTATACACTTTACAATGACTTTTTTTTTACAGTGACAACTGGTACACCAGGAACATCGCCAACAGGTAGGGTATAAATACATTCTAAATAATATGTTCTGTATTATCAGTGATTTTGTTCATCATCTGTACCAGATGTAACAAGTAAAGGCCACCATTTCTCCTATTCCGAATTGTCAAATACATAATGGGAAGTTTCTGTATTTCAACTACTGGTATGATAAATCTGTCTGTAGCCATTACCTGCCGAGCACATGGCGCCATTTTCTGATTTACTTTAGAAAACACCGACCACTTCGAATTTTTTACTTATAGAAAACTTAAACCACTAATCTGGTGATTCGGCTAATGGCCTTGGGTTATACCTTTCCATTATCTTTAGATTCGGAAATTCATGTCCAAATTGTCACTACATTTTATTGTTGAAAGTGTGCTCATGGCAGGGTATGCTTACTTTTTCTAAAACACTTACTAATTCTTAGTTCACATAGCTTACATATTTTGTGTATGTTATATTATCAAGTTTATTTAATTCTGTCGACTAAAAATTAGATAATTTACGATATATGTCTTAATAAATAATTAAGGACCACCAGTAGTAACTTCACCTACATTGCCAGTAGAAGCTGAATCACCAACTGCAACACAAGGAACGCCACCACCAGTGCCATCATCACCCACAGGTTGGTACTTGCTACTCCTTCCTGGTTGCCAGTTGGATAAATCCATATTAAATATGTAAACAAGTCCAACTATTTAAAGCAATGAGCTGGTAACTTTTACGTAACGATTTTAGATTACTGCCATGCACAGTGTATTAGCGCTATTAGCCATTTTCTTCCTATTAAATATATATATGCAGAGACGTGATACAGTATAGAAGTAGAGGCTACAAAGTCAAGGCACTCAAGGCAAACTGGTGATTTGGTCGGTGGCTTTGGGTTATCTTATTTCCAATTTATTCAGCTTCAAAATCCCTTGTCAAAACTGTCACTTCATTTTACTTTTAAAAGTGGCAAAAGTCATGCTCATGGCACGAAACGCTTCTGAATAATATATCAACGAAATCGATACTGACGAATGGATCAATAATTATCTTTTCAACAAATAGTTAACGTTTTCACCCACAGCACCTGGAACATCACCTACAGCAGCGCCACCTGGAACATCGCCTACTGCTCCACCACCAGGGACATCCCCAACAACAGCGCCACCTGCAACATCACCTACTGCTCCACCACCTGGAACGTCACCTACTGCGCCAACACCTGGAACATCCCCGTCTGCTCCACCACCTGGAACATCCCCATCTGCTCCACCACCTGGCACATCACCCTCTGTCCCACCACCTGGAACATCACCTACTGCGCCACCACCAGCAACATCACCTACTGTTCAACCACCTGGAACATCCCCTACTGCACGGCCAACTGCTCCACCAACCGGCCTATCGCCTGCAGGTAATATTCCTGACCAAGATTATTTTATATCTTTCCAATGGCTTGTCCAAGTCATGGGCATTTGAAGCACCACACACCTACATGCACTGGGTTACATATGCAAACATTTTGATATCACTACCTGTACTATTCTGTGACTTTTCAAATGCCATCTAACTATTCCTTAAATGTTTAATTTACATTAGCCTATTTTTGAAAAAAAAAAGTACCTCGAATGCAATAATGTGACCTAAAGAAGCGCCAATTCCAGATTTGAATGTACAATGCTCGGGATCAGGTTTTTGTAACTCACAAGTGTGTTATAACAGAACACTAAAGTCATATATACAATTACAATTATTAATTTTGAAGGTGTAATCTATTTGCACACAGCAGTATTGGGTGATATTGTCATTTTTTTTCGACTCCCTCGATCAGTTTAACTTGAGCTTTTCACGTATTGACAAACAATTCATTCTTTTCTGAAATATCAAAGATAAAATCATTTCTATCCCCAGCACAAGGAACTTTCCCAACGGCACCCTGCACCATAGGTAAATAGGATAACAAGTCAACTGTGTGATTATAATTATAAATATAAAGTAGTGGCGGATAATATTGTCAATTTGCTTTATAGTTACACATTTTCAGAAAAGTACTTGAATATAAGCTTTTAAAGTATAGACAAACAATTCATTCTTTTCTGAAATACCTAATATAAAATCATTTCTGTCTCCAGCACCAGGAACTTCGCCAACAGCACCCGTAACTTCTCCAACTGTACCCGGAACTTCACCGACAGCGCCTGGAACTTCTCCCACAGGTAATAGAAGAACAAAAAGTCAACTTTTTTAAATACAATTATTTATATCAGGTTGGGCTATTTACACAAAGCAGTGTTGGATAATGTTGTCAATGTGTCCGAGAGTTACAGTTTTTCGTTTCCCTGCTTATATTTTCAGACAAGCACTTTAATTTCAGCCTTGAAAAACAAATCATTAATATATCCAGAACCATGAACTTCGCCATCGGCGCCCGGGACTTCTCGCACAAACTACTACAGGGTCTCTTATAGTTATGATGAAGCTGGAAATTTCAATAAAATCAATACTTACAAATGGATCAATAATTATATTTTTAACACATAGCTAACGTTTTCGCCCACAGCACTTGGAGCATCCCCAACTGTAGCGCCAACTGGAACATCACCTACAGCAGCGCTACCTGGAACCTCACCCACTGCTCTACCACCAGGGATTTCTCCAACTGTTCCACCACCAGGAACATCCCCAACAGCAGCGCCACCTGGAACATCAGCCACTGCCCCACCGCCTGGAACATCACCTACTGCTCCACCAGTCGGAACTTCCCCTACTGCTCCACCATCTGGCACAACACCCACTGCCCCACCACCTGGAACATCGCCTACTGCTCCACCGCCTGGCACATCACCCACTGCCCCACCTCCTGGAACATCGCCCACTGCTCCACCGTCTGGAACATCACCTACTGCCCCACCTCCAGGAACTTCACCTACTGCAGCACCACCAGGAACATCGCCCACTGCACCGCCACCAGGTACTTCTCCCTCTGTCCCACCGCCTGGCACATCGCCTACAGGTAATATTCATGACTAGATTTGTTTTATTATTTGTCAATTTGCTTAAGAGCTACAGGATTTCGAAGCTGAATGTCAGGTTTCAGACAAACACTTTACGTTGACTAGTTAAAGTACTGACACACAATCCATTCGTTTCTAAAATATCTAAGATAAAATCATTTCTATCTCCAGCACCAGGAACTTCACCAACAGCACCCGGAACTTCTCCAACTGTACCCGGAACTTCACCGACTGCGCCTGGAACTTCTCCCACAGGTAATAGAAGAACAAAAAGTCAACTATTTGACAATTTGCTTAACATGGACTGGGTTACATATGCAAACATTTTGATAACTACCTGTACTATTTTGTGACTTTTCAAATACCATCTTACTATTTCCTTAAATGTATATTATGTATTTTATTAGTATAATCATATGTTGTTTAATTTACATTAGCCTATTTTTGAAAACAAAACGTGCCTCGAATGCAATAAAGTGACCAAAAAAGGGGCAATTCCAGATTTGAAGTTAAAATGCTCAGTATCAGGTTTTGTAACTCACAAGTGTGTTATAACAGAATACTAAAGTCATCTATACAATTACAATTATTAATTTCGAAGGTGTAGTCTATTTGCACACAGCAGTATTAGATGATATTGTCAATTTTTTCGACTCACTCGATCAGTTTAACTTGAGCTTTTCATGTATTGACAAACAATTCATTCTTTTCTGAAATATCAAAGATAAAATCATTTCTTTCCCCAGGACAAGGAACTTCCCCAGCGGCACCCGGGACCATAGGTAAATAGGACAACAAGTCAACTATGCGATTATAATTATAATTATAAAGCAGTGGCGAATAATATTGTCAATTTGCTTTATAGTTACTCGTTTTCAGGAAAGTACTTGAATATAAGCTGTTAAAGTATTGACAAACAATTCATTCTTTTCTGAAATACCTAATATAAAATCATTTCTGTCTCCAGCACCAGGAACTTCGCCAACAGCACCCGGAACTTCTCCAACTGTACCCGGAACTTCACCGACTGCGCCTGGAACTTCTCCCACAGGTAATAGACAGTTACAGTTCTTCGAGGCACTGCTTATATTTTCAGACAAGCACTTTAAATTCAGCATTGAAAAACAAATCATTAATATCCAGCACTATGAACTTCGCCATCGGCGACCGGGACTTCTCCCACAAACTACTACAGGATCTCTTATAGTTATGATGAAGCTGGAAATTTCAATAAAATCAATACTTACAAATGGATCAATAATTATATTTTTAACACATAGCTAACGTTTTCGCCCACAGCACTTGGAGCATCCCCAACTGTAACGCCAACTGGAACATCACCTACAGCAGCGCTACCTGGAACCTCACCCACTGCTCCACCACCAGGGACTTCTCCAACTGTTCCACCACTAGGAACATCCCCAACAGCAGCGCCACCTGGAACATCACCCACTGCCCCACCGCCTGGAACATCACCTACTGCTCCACCAGCCGGAACTTCCCCTACTGCTCCACCATCTGGCACAACACCCACTGCCCCACCACCTGGAACATCGCCTACTGCTCCACCGCCTGGCACATCACCCACTGCCCCACCTCCTGGAACATCGCCCACTGCTTCACCGTCTGGAACATCACCTACTGCCCCACCTCCAGGAACTTCACCTACTGCAGCACCACCAGGAACATCGCCCACTGCACCGCCACCAGGTACTTCTCCCTCTATCCCATCGCCTGGCACATCGCCTACAGGTAATATTCATGACTAGATTTGTTTTATTATTTGTCAATTTCCTTAATAGCTACAGGATTTCGAAGCTGAATTTCAGGTTTCAGACAAACACTTTACGTTGACTAGTTAAAGTACTGACACACAATCCATTCGTTTCTAAAATATCTAAGATACAATCATTTCTATCTCCAGCACCAGGAACTTCACCAACAGCACCCGGAACTTCTCCAACTGTACCCGGAACTTCACCGACTGCGCCTGGAACTTCTCCCACAGGTAATAAAAGAACAAAAAGTCAACTATTTGACAATTTGCTTGACATGGACTGGGTTACATATGCAAACATTTTGATAACTACCTGTACTATTTTGTGACTTTTCAAATGACATCTTACTATTTCCTTAAGTATATTATGTATTTTATTAATATAGTCATATGTTGTTTAATTTACATTAGCCTATTTTTGAAAATAAAACGTACCTATAAAAGCGCCAATTCCAGATTTGAAGTTAAAATGCTCAGTATCAGGTTTTGTAACTCACAAGTGTGTTATAACAGAACACTAAAGTCATCTATACAATTTCGAAGGTGTAGTCTATTTGCACACAGCAGTATTGGATGATATTGTCATTTTTTTCGACTCACTCGATCAGTTTAACTTGAGCTTTTCATGTATTGACAAACAATTCATTCTTTTCTGAAATATCAAAGATAAAATCATTTTTTCCCCAGGACAAGGAACTTCCCCAAAGGCACCCGGGACGAGACCATAGGTAAATAGGACAACAAGTCAACTATGCGATTATAATTATAATTATAAAGCAGTGGCGAATAATATTGTCAATTTGCTTTATAGTTACACGTTTTTAGGAAAGTACTTGAATATAAGCTGTTAAAGAATTGACAAACAATTCATTCTTTTCTGAAATACCTAATATAAAATCATTTCTGTCTCCAGCACCAGGAACTTCGCCAACAGCACCCGGAACTTCTCCAACTGTACCCGGAACTTCACCGACTGCGCCTGGAACTTCTCCCACAGGTAATAGACAGTTACACTTCTTCGGGGCCCTGCTTATATTTTCAGACAAGCACTTTAATTTCAGCATTGAAAAACAAATCATTAATATATCCAGCACTATGAACTTCGCCATCGGCGCCCGGGACTTTTCCCACAAACTACTACAGTGTCTCTTATAGTTATGATGAAGCTGGAAATTTCAATAAAATCAATACTTACAAATGGATCAATAATTATTTTTTAACACATAGCTAACGTTTTCGCCCACAGCACTTGGAGCATCCCAAACTGTAGCGCCAACTGGAACATCACCTACAGCAGCGCTACCTGGAACCTCACCCACTGCTCTACCACCAGGGACTTCTCCAACTGTTCCACCACCAGGAACATCCCCAACAGCAGGGCCACCTGGAACATCGCCCACTGCCCCACCGCCTGGAACATCACCTACAGCTCCACCACCCGGAACTTCCCCTACTGCTCCACCATCTGGCACAACACCCACTGCCCGACCACCTGGAACTTCCCCAACTGCTCCACCAGCTGGAACATCCCCAACTGGTCCACCGCCTGGAACATCCCAAACAGTTCCACCATCTGGCACAACACCCACTGCCCCACCACCTGGAACATCGCCTACTGCTCCACCGTCTGGAACATCACCTACTGCCCAACCTCAAGGAACTTCAACTACTGCAGCACCACCAGGAACATCGCCCACTGCACCGCCACCAGGAACATCGCCCACTGCACCGCCACCAGGTACTTCTCCCTCTGTCCTACCACCTGGCACATCGCCTACAGGTAATATTCATGACTAGATTTGTTTTACCATTTGTCAATTGAATTGACCAAGCCCCTCGCTTTTGAAGCACCACTCACCTACATATGAAATATGAAATAGGCTTTCTATTTTCTATGGATGACTAGCATATTATCCACTGATATCAAATATTATTTTACCGCATACTGTTCTCAATGGGGTTCCCTCACCATCGCAAACCCAAACATTTTCATATTACTACCTACTCTATTTTATGCCCTATAAAAGCACCAATTACATATCCAAATCTACAGCCACCAGGAACATGTTATGTAATTAATTCATAAGGATGTCATAACAGACCACTCAAGTCTTCTATACAATTTATTTCGTGGTGTAGTTTATTTACACAAAGCAGTGTTGTGTGATATTGTCAATTTGCTTAACAGCTACAGGTTTTCGAAGCTCCATGTCAGTTTTCAGACAAACACTTTACGTTGACAAGTTAAAGTACTGACAAACAATCCATTCGTTTCTAAAATATCTAAGCTAAAATCATTTCTATTTCCAGCACCAGGAACATCACCAACTGCACCCGGAACTTCGCCAACTGTACCCGGAACTTCTCCCACAGGTAATAGCAGGACAACAATTATTTATATCTTGGTGTAGTCTATTTATACTAATCAACATTGGATAATATTGTCAATTTGTTTGATAGTCACACTTCTTCGAAGCCCAGGTATATTTTCAGATCAGCAGCCGAAGCCTTTAAAAACAAACAATTTATTTATCCAGCAGTATTAACTGCGCCCGGAACTTCTCCCATAGTTAAATGCATAACAACGGCGACCGGTAATTTCCGCAAAGTTAAATGCAGAACAATATGCAGAAAGCAGGGGACTACTAAAATAGGTTCGTCCGTCCATCTGTCCATCACACTTGGTGTTTATTAGTTGACTGCCTTAATGAAGTTCGAAGAGGAGCATGTTCTGCGTTGGGAAAAACAACTCTACTTTTAATTGATATAAAATGTTTAAACATGGTGTGGATGTTCATTAGGCGAATGTCTTGACTGCGTTCAATGATAAATATATTTACCGCTAGAGCTAAGCAGACAGAGCTAAGCAGTTTCATTGGTCGTTGCTTTGGGGCAAGATTACTTTGATTCTAACTGAGTGAAAGTGATGAAACTTAGTGTAACGTTTCACTCCCAGGTAGTCTACTTCAAAACCATGACTCGGTTCGACTAGGAACGTTTTCTTCTCAGACTAAGCGTAGATGATAACAGAGTCTGTCTGTATTTGATATGCGTGAAATAACTATAACAAGTTTCTCAGTTTCTTTTACCGCCACCGGAAAATCTCAAACATGCATGAAGTCTGTGAAAATTGAATCCATATTTCATTGGAGTTAACATTTATTCTTTTCACAATTTTTTCAGAGAGATGCGAGGAGATAAATGGAATGGAGAAACCAGCATTTATACCAAGTTCAAGTGTTGAGGGTTTGACACCTGACCAAGTGGATAATCTAAGGACAAGCGATGTCCCATTATCTATCATACCCAACGGCAGCAATCCTATACTATTTACCATAGATCTTTCACCTAATACCGATGAGGATGTCGATCTGGGATCCATCACATTCCCGAATGCTGAGAATTTCGAATCCATAGAAATAGTGCTGATTGATTCACAGGGCAATGAAACTCCTGTAACAGATCAAGTAAGTCTAATGTCTTAAATACTATATTCGAAGTAAATTTGGTAAAACAGTTACGTGCTTTACATTACGTTATTTGGCCACGAATATTAGTTTTTGAATATATGTATATGGATACTTACTGTGTATAAAGATATTTCATTGAGTGTATATCATTTATATCTGACAGTGCGAAAGAAGAATGTTTTTTATCAATGAGTGTATGATCTGCAAAGTAGCTTATATATCATAAAATTTAGTGATGGTGCCGAACTGTACATCGGTTGAACTAACAAGTTACAAATCAAAATATGCACGTTCAAAGATGCCACATTCAGATCCCATGAAAAGATATAGATATTTTATGGCTAAATTTAAATCCAAATAGATCATTTCAAAATAAATACAGTATTATACATATACTTCATTTTTATTATATAATTGTATTATTATTCTTCCATAAAATCACGTCATTTTTATTGTATGTCTTGAGAAACTCGGGCAAAACGTGTAGACAATTCAAATATAGGAGAGCTTTAAAGAATTTTGATCCGTTTTGCTCAATATTAGCACTGCCATGGTTTCAGTTGGCAATTTAAAAATTCCCTATTTGTATAAATCATAGGACGCGCCACTAAAAGCGGATTTCCCTCGAGTAACCAAAGTTCAAACGATACGAGTTACTCTGGTGCCAACGAACGCTTCAGTTCCTGTCAAATTTAATTATTTTTTCATAAAGTCATGCCATTTATCTTTTAAACATACATTATGCAAGAGCTAAATCTGATTATTGCAAGTCATTTTTTAGGCTTCAGATGTCAAAGAAATTATGAATTAGATCTTTATTTACACAACAAGCACAAAATCAACTCTGTAGACGCACGGATGGCTTGGATTCGGGTGGATTTAAACAGGATTTTATTGATTGATTAAATTTTTAATCAAAAACCGTTACGTTGACGTCATACTGCCGGAAATTTTAGATCAAGGCTAAATGATAGAGTATACGAAGCGAGGCCGCTGTTGAGCGAGGCCGTATGTCAGTCAATTTGATTGAAAGTTCGATATATAGGGCCTTGAGATTATGTTTAGTTGTGGTTAAAATGAGAGTTTGGATGTCGGTATTATATGCTCTTTTGTCACTTGCGTTTACAGAAAAAATATGGAAATTGATAAACACCGCAGCTAACATCACCCCAGTTGAATTGCAGCCCCATTGGATCACTGTTTCCTATTAGTATTTGTCTGCTTCTAGAGTTACGTAGCCCTACCAGTTACAGTACAAGAAGTCGGCTATAATTATGCCTCATTGAGTTGGTCCATTCCTTTCAAACTTTCGCTTCTTGTCTATATATTAAAAGTCTTATTTTTAATTTGTAATAAAAATAAATGTGATACGAATTGAATTGCAACCACAGCCATTGAAAACGTTACTTGATAATCGAGATTATGTAGGTGGAGTTAACGCCTGTCAATCAAACGATCGGTCATTCTCGGAGACGGTGAAGAGGGAGTTGACTCCTATTTCTAGTCAAAAATTACAATGGTGATAACTTTGTTCAGAATAAAGTAATTTGACTGAAATTTTCAATATATTCTTCTTTCATCATCTATTTTTGAACTATTATAGCAAGAATGACCAACTCTCTATTAAAATCTCCCATAATGTATCTTTAAGGAATTTTTACCCGTTTTGCTCAATATTATCTATTTTGCCACGGTTTCAATTGACAATTTAAAAATGGTCTATTTGTATAACCATAGGCTGGTCTCCAGGACCCGATACCAAAAGCTGATTTCCCTCCAGAAACCAAAGCTCAAAAGATACGAGTTACTATTGTGCCAACAAACTCTACAGCTGCTGTTAAATTTAATTTGGATGTAAGAGCATGTTTTGAAGAGACTGCCACAGCAGGAACATCTCCCACAGGTTGGTCCTATTTATGTTTTAATGCATAATCTGATAAGATTTTACCAAAGAGTACGGCATATATCAAAGTTATCAGTAAGTTGACAAATGCAATCTAAATAATGAACAGAATTGTAAACATTATATTTTTATGTCAGAATGGTCTTAATCCCTATGGTATTGTTTGCTTAAAATATATCTATTGGAAATAAGCTTCCGTATGTAAAAGTATGTAACATACGCTTTCACCCAGAGTATATGAAACATCCCCAACTGCAGCACCACATAAAACATCACCGACTGCAGTGCCACCTGGAACATCTACTCGCATATCACATTAGCAATACACCTGGAACATTTCTTTCATATTAATGAGTTAAATGGGCCTTGCTAATTGATAGAAAATGCAGAACGTTGTATCTGTTAATCACGACAAATTGGCTATGAAGATGTGTTCTCTTGTCTGATGCAATAGTATAATAAATTTCGTATTTGTATAAGCAATGGCACCAAACACTACCGAGTCATTTCATCATAAACCTCCTAAGATATTGGTGCTATTGTACTTTTAGGAATAATATATCAATGAAACAAAGAATTACAAACTGATAAATAATTATCTTTCTAATACATAGCTAACGTTTTCACCCATAGCACCTGGAACATCCCCAACTACAGCGCCAACTGCAACATCACCTACTGCTCCACCACCCGGAACGTCCCCTACTGCTCCACCACCTGGAACATCCCCAACTGCTCCACCACCAGGAACATCGCCAACAGCAGCGCCACCTGGTACATCACCTACTGCTCTACCACCTGGAACATCGCCTACTGCTCCTCCGCCTGGAACATCACCTACTGTCCCTCCTCCAGGAACTTCACCTACTGCAGCACCACCAGGAACATCGCCTACTGCACCGCCACCAGGTACTTCTCCATCTGTCCCACCACCCGGCACATCGCCTACAGGTAATATTCATGACTAGATCTTTTTTGCCATTTTTCCATTGAACTGACCATGCCCATGGCTTTGGAAGCACCACCCACCTACATACGAAATATGAAATACGCTTTTTTTCCGTGGATGACAAGCATATTATCCACTGATATCAATCATTATTTTACCCAATACTATTCTTAATGGGGTTCAATCTCAAGCATTTTCATATTACTACTTGCTATACTTTATGATTTTTGAAATGTCGCCTTTCCTATCCATTAAATGTATATAATGTGTTATATTGGTATATTCATATATGGTTTAATTTACATTAGCATAGTTTTTGAGAAACAACAACAACATTGTTTGAATGCAACATCCTGTCATATAAAAGCACCAATTACAGATCCGAATCTACAATCATCAGGAACAGCTTATCTAATTTATAAGGATGTTATAGCAGACCACTAAATTACAATTATTTATTTCGTGATGTAGTTTATTTGCACAAAGAAGTAATGTGTGATATTGTCAATTGGCTTGACAGCTACACGTTTCCGAAGCTTCAGGCCAGTTTTCAGACAAGCACTTTAATTTGACCAATTCAAGTATTGACAAACAATTCTTTCTCCACTGAAATATCTAAGATAACATTATTTCTATCTGTAGCACCAGAAACTTCCCCAACTGGACCCGGGACTTCACCAACTGTGCCAGGAACTTCTCCCACAGGTAAATTATGCAAGTACAATTATTTTTTTCTTGGTGTAGTCTATTTACATAAAGCAGAATTGGAGGTTATTGTTTTTTCTTGGTGTAGTCTATTTACACAAAGAAGCAATGGATAATATTGCTAAAGAGCTTGACAGTTACACTTCTTCAGTCAAGCACTTTAATTTCAGCAGTCCAAGTCTGAAAAACAAATCAATTATATATCCAGCACCAAGAACTTCGCCATCGGCGCCCGGAACTTTTCCCGCAAACTACTTGAGGCCTCTTGTAGATATGATAAGGCTGAAAAGTGATATCTGAATAATTAAGTGTGATGATATTTAAAAGGGTTTATCGCTAATAGAAAACTAGTTACTCCAAGTTCCTGTTTTCGTGATCGTGCATTTTCCGTGAATTTAATTCTAAATATCGTGTATTAGCTATAGTTTACATTATTAACTTCATATTCTGTAAATTTGACTACATGGAATTCAATATCAACTAATAGAAAACTAGTCACTCCAAGTTCCTTTTTTCATGAGCATGCCTTTTCCTCGAATTACAGTTGTCTGTACTGAAGTAAATGGAATGGATAATCCTGCTATTATCCCTACATCAAGTATTACAACTGTGCCAGCAGCAACTGATGTAGAAAACCTGAGACCAGCAAGTACAGACCCAGCCACCTTCCCTGCTGGAAGTACACCAGATGTAACAATTGATTTGACACCAGTCACAAATGAAGAGGTAGAACTTAAATCAGTGCAGCTTGTATCGCCCGATAATGTTCAATCTATTAGAGTATTTGTAACTCCAACTGGCGGTTCAGAAACAGAAGCTGCATACTTGAACCCAGTAAGTACATTTTGTTTCGTCTTGATATTATGTGTGTTTATGTACACATCGTTCTGGCTTGGTGTAGCAAGTATTGCTACAGACAAAGACTGACAATGTCAGCTGTATGTTTATTCCGTTTATTCCTGTACTCAGTATCGGAACGACTCCGACATCTGAATACATAACAATAGACAGTGGCGAGACTTTTGATTAAATATAAGAGGCTACCCCCCCCCCCCCCACAATGTTTATCCAAGCCACAACCAAATATCACCTACATCACTGCCCAATTAATTTTAATTTGTCTATAGCATTGTCTTTCTCAACATGTTTCTTTTCGAGATTCCTAATTGATGTGTATTTTAACCTGTGATTTGCATTGTTTTTAAGGCTGATTTATCGTTACCTATCCCTAAAGCTTCATTCCCTGCTGGAACAGTAGCCGAAAAAATCAGAATCGAAGTAACACCAACCTCTTCAGGCCAGCCTACTTCTTTTAAGATTGATGTCAGAGCGTGCTTTGAAGGTATATAATATTAAATAGTCGACTGATTGGGACAATGTAGGGTCGTATGGTGCACTCCTGTCGTTCAAATGAGAACTGTAATACTCAATCATTTTGAACTGATATAAATATTAAACCAATGGACGGGCAATATGAAACCAACTAACCACATGGGTTCCTCGATTTCCTGCAAGTGCTAAAGACCCGTGATGCATCCAAGTTATTACTTGACATGTTATGTTTTGATCATTTTAGAAACAATCACCTACTGTAACTAACATCCTGTTTATTAATTATTTTAGAAACAGCCGGACTCGGTACATCACCTACAGTAGCAATTGGAACATCACCTACAGTGGCAATTGGGACATCACCAACCTGTAATTATATATATTCAACTTTTTTCTTTTCTGTATCCGACATTAGTTTATATTAAGATATGTCTTCTTAATTTCTGGCTTGTACTATAAAAACATATGCAGATATGTTCAATTTTACCAATCTTGCTATATAATTTGGAAGGTTTAATACTTTTCTTGCTCTTGTATAAACAAGCTATAGTACCAGGGTTTGATAGAGATTAACCAGTCAGTTAAAGCAGCGTTGTTTAAATTACTCAAGCTTTCAGAAACGATTCTGATATTCTATTAAAATATTTATTTATTATTATTTACAGTGGGATCAACTACACGTAAGTTAATGTATACAGTCATGTTTAAATCATAAATCATAACAATATAAACGTCGTTCAACAATTAAACATTGGACTTGAAATATCATAAACATATATTATATTTTATCATTCTATCCTATAATGTCTTTAATTATTAGCAATCAACAATCAATTGTCTTTTTTCCAGCACGATGTGTTGTAACAGAAGGAATGGGAAGCCCAACAGTTATACCTGATACTTACCTTGAACAAGAACCTGCCTTCCCATCGACAGATAACCCAGCAGATCTGAGACCAGGCGATGATCCATTTACAATTAACCCATCGGACACGCCTACCAACGTCACATTGAAAGTTACTGGGGGTGAACCCGTTGATCTGTCAGAAGTAAATCTTCCAGTCAGGGAAAATGTCAAGACATTTAGAGTATTTGGACGCACGGGACCTTCAGCACCATGGACCCTACTTGAATCTACTGATGTAAGTATTCGGATCTTTAACAATTAAGAAATGACGCTGCTTAAGTCCAAATTCAGATATGTTACAATTTCAAATGTATTTTATTCTTTATAATTCCTTTGGTGTTTATGTTTGGACGATACCACGAAATATTTATTTTTGGGGATAGCCATGTTAGATATGTTGAATATCTTGTGTTTATTTATATATGCTAACAGGATGATCCTTCAGACGGTATTCTTACATTCCCACCGGAAGTAGTTGTCACAGATATTTTGGTAGAGATAACACCCACAAACATTACCGAACCAATTAATATTGATGTTAGTGTACACGCTTGCTTCGTAGGTGAGTATCTTCTATATTCTGAACTTTAAGTGGACCACCAAATTTGTAAAGGAGTATCAACCTTTCTCATCTGTGCTATAAATCCGACCTGTATAAAGCATTAATCTATCTCTCTCTCTCTTTATCGTACAAAATACAACTATACACTTTACAATGACTTTTTTTTTACAGTGACAACTGGTACACCAGGAACATCGCCAACAGGTAGGGTATAAATACATTCTAAATAATATGTTCTGTATTATCAGTGATTTTGTTCATCATCTGTACCAGATGTAACAAGTAAAGGCCACCATTTCTCCTATTCCGAATTGTCAAATACATAATGGGAAGTTTCTGTATTTCAACTACTGGTATGATAAATCTGTCTGTAGCCATTACCTGCCGAGCACATGGCGCCATTTTCTGATTTACTTTAGAAAACACCGACCACTTCGAATTTTTTACTTATAGAAAACTTAAACCACTAATCTGGTGATTCGGCTAATGGCCTTGGGTTATACCTTTCCATTATCTTTAGATTCGGAAATTCATGTCCAAATTGTCACTACATTTTATTGTTGAAAGTGTGCTCATGGCAGGGTATGCTTACTTTTTCTAAAACACTTACTAATTCTTAGTTCACATAGCTTACATATTTTGTGTATGTTATATTATCAAGTTTATTTAATTCTGTCGACTAAAAATTAGATAATTTACGATATATGTCTTAATAAATAATTAAGGACCACCAGTAGTAACTTCACCTACATTGCCAGTAGAAGCTGAATCACCAACTGCAACACAAGGAACGCCACCACCAGTGCCATCATCACCCACAGGTTGGTACTTGCTACTCCTTCCTGGTTGCCAGTTGGATAAATCCATATTAAATATGTAAACAAGTCCAACTATTTAAAGCAATGAGCTGGTAACTTTTACGTAACGATTTTAGATTACTGCCATGCACAGTGTATTAGCGCTATTAGCCATTTTCTTCCTATTAAATATATATATGCAGAGACGTGATACAGTATAGAAGTAGAGGCTACAAAGTCAAGGCACTCAAGGCAAACTGGTGATTTGGTCGGTGGCTTTGGGTTATCTTATTTCCAATTTATTCAGCTTCAAAATCCCTTGTCAAAACTGTCACTTCATTTTACTTTTAAAAGTGGCAAAAGTCATGCTCATGGCACGAAACGCTTCTGAATAATATATCAACGAAATCGATACTGACGAATGGATCAATAATTATCTTTTCAACAAATAGTTAACGTTTTCACCCACAGCACCTGGAACATCACCTACAGCAGCGCCACCTGGAACATCGCCTACTGCTCCACCACCAGGGACATCCCCAACAACAGCGCCACCTGCAACATCACCTACTGCTCCACCACCTGGAACGTCACCTACTGCGCCAACACCTGGAACATCCCCGTCTGCTCCACCACCTGGAACATCCCCATCTGCTCCACCACCTGGCACATCACCCTCTGTCCCACCACCTGGAACATCACCTACTGCGCCACCACCAGCAACATCACCTACTGTTCAACCACCTGGAACATCCCCTACTGCACGGCCAACTGCTCCACCAACCGGCCTATCGCCTGCAGGTAATATTCCTGACCAAGATTATTTTATATCTTTCCAATGGCTTGTCCAAGTCATGGGCATTTGAAGCACCACACACCTACATGCACTGGGTTACATATGCAAACATTTTGATATCACTACCTGTACTATTCTGTGACTTTTCAAATGCCATCTAACTATTCCTTAAATGTTTAATTTACATTAGCCTATTTTTGAAAAAAAAAAGTACCTCGAATGCAATAATGTGACCTAAAGAAGCGCCAATTCCAGATTTGAATGTACAATGCTCGGGATCAGGTTTTTGTAACTCACAAGTGTGTTATAACAGAACACTAAAGTCATATATACAATTACAATTATTAATTTTGAAGGTGTAATCTATTTGCACACAGCAGTATTGGGTGATATTGTCATTTTTTTTCGACTCCCTCGATCAGTTTAACTTGAGCTTTTCACGTATTGACAAACAATTCATTCTTTTCTGAAATATCAAAGATAAAATCATTTCTATCCCCAGCACAAGGAACTTTCCCAACGGCACCCTGCACCATAGGTAAATAGGATAACAAGTCAACTGTGTGATTATAATTATAAATATAAAGTAGTGGCGGATAATATTGTCAATTTGCTTTATAGTTACACATTTTCAGAAAAGTACTTGAATATAAGCTTTTAAAGTATAGACAAACAATTCATTCTTTTCTGAAATACCTAATATAAAATCATTTCTGTCTCCAGCACCAGGAACTTCGCCAACAGCACCCGTAACTTCTCCAACTGTACCCGGAACTTCACCGACAGCGCCTGGAACTTCTCCCACAGGTAATAGAAGAACAAAAAGTCAACTTTTTTAAATACAATTATTTATATCAGGTTGGGCTATTTACACAAAGCAGTGTTGGATAATGTTGTCAATGTGTCCGAGAGTTACAGTTTTTCGTTTCCCTGCTTATATTTTCAGACAAGCACTTTAATTTCAGCCTTGAAAAACAAATCATTAATATATCCAGAACCATGAACTTCGCCATCGGCGCCCGGGACTTCTCGCACAAACTACTACAGGGTCTCTTATAGTTATGATGAAGCTGGAAATTTCAATAAAATCAATACTTACAAATGGATCAATAATTATATTTTTAACACATAGCTAACGTTTTCGCCCACAGCACTTGGAGCATCCCCAACTGTAGCGCCAACTGGAACATCACCTACAGCAGCGCTACCTGGAACCTCACCCACTGCTCTACCACCAGGGATTTCTCCAACTGTTCCACCACCAGGAACATCCCCAACAGCAGCGCCACCTGGAACATCAGCCACTGCCCCACCGCCTGGAACATCACCTACTGCTCCACCAGTCGGAACTTCCCCTACTGCTCCACCATCTGGCACAACACCCACTGCCCCACCACCTGGAACATCGCCTACTGCTCCACCGCCTGGCACATCACCCACTGCCCCACCTCCTGGAACATCGCCCACTGCTCCACCGTCTGGAACATCACCTACTGCCCCACCTCCAGGAACTTCACCTACTGCAGCACCACCAGGAACATCGCCCACTGCACCGCCACCAGGTACTTCTCCCTCTGTCCCACCGCCTGGCACATCGCCTACAGGTAATATTCATGACTAGATTTGTTTTATTATTTGTCAATTTGCTTAAGAGCTACAGGATTTCGAAGCTGAATGTCAGGTTTCAGACAAACACTTTACGTTGACTAGTTAAAGTACTGACACACAATCCATTCGTTTCTAAAATATCTAAGATAAAATCATTTCTATCTCCAGCACCAGGAACTTCACCAACAGCACCCGGAACTTCTCCAACTGTACCCGGAACTTCACCGACTGCGCCTGGAACTTCTCCCACAGGTAATAGAAGAACAAAAAGTCAACTATTTGACAATTTGCTTAACATGGACTGGGTTACATATGCAAACATTTTGATAACTACCTGTACTATTTTGTGACTTTTCAAATACCATCTTACTATTTCCTTAAGTATATTATGTATTTTATTAATATAGTCATATGTTGTTTAATTTACATTAGCCTATTTTTGAAAATAAAACGTACCTATAAAAGCGCCAATTCCAGATTTGAAGTTAAAATGCTCAGTATCAGGTTTTGTAACTCACAAGTGTGTTATAACAGAACACTAAAGTCATCTATACAATTTCGAAGGTGTAGTCTATTTGCACACAGCAGTATTGGATGATATTGTCATTTTTTTCGACTCACTCGATCAGTTTAACTTGAGCTTTTCATGTATTGACAAACAATTCATTCTTTTCTGAAATATCAAAGATAAAATCATTTTTTCCCCAGGACAAGGAACTTCCCCAAAGGCACCCGGGACGAGACCATAGGTAAATAGGACAACAAGTCAACTATGCGATTATAATTATAATTATAAAGCAGTGGCGAATAATATTGTCAATTTGCTTTATAGTTACACGTTTTTAGGAAAGTACTTGAATATAAGCTGTTAAAGAATTGACAAACAATTCATTCTTTTCTGAAATACCTAATATAAAATCATTTCTGTCTCCAGCACCAGGAACTTCGCCAACAGCACCCGGAACTTCTCCAACTGTACCCGGAACTTCACCGACTGCGCCTGGAACTTCTCCCACAGGTAATAGACAGTTACACTTCTTCGGGGCCCTGCTTATATTTTCAGACAAGCACTTTAATTTCAGCATTGAAAAACAAATCATTAATATATCCAGCACTATGAACTTCGCCATCGGCGCCCGGGACTTTTCCCACAAACTACTACAGTGTCTCTTATAGTTATGATGAAGCTGGAAATTTCAATAAAATCAATACTTACAAATGGATCAATAATTATTTTTTAACACATAGCTAACGTTTTCGCCCACAGCACTTGGAGCATCCCAAACTGTAGCGCCAACTGGAACATCACCTACAGCAGCGCTACCTGGAACCTCACCCACTGCTCTACCACCAGGGACTTCTCCAACTGTTCCACCACCAGGAACATCCCCAACAGCAGGGCCACCTGGAACATCGCCCACTGCCCCACCGCCTGGAACATCACCTACAGCTCCACCACCCGGAACTTCCCCTACTGCTCCACCATCTGGCACAACACCCACTGCCCGACCACCTGGAACTTCCCCAACTGCTCCACCAGCTGGAACATCCCCAACTGGTCCACCGCCTGGAACATCCCAAACAGTTCCACCATCTGGCACAACACCCACTGCCCCACCACCTGGAACATCGCCTACTGCTCCACCGTCTGGAACATCACCTACTGCCCAACCTCAAGGAACTTCAACTACTGCAGCACCACCAGGAACATCGCCCACTGCACCGCCACCAGGAACATCGCCCACTGCACCGCCACCAGGTACTTCTCCCTCTGTCCTACCACCTGGCACATCGCCTACAGGTAATATTCATGACTAGATTTGTTTTACCATTTGTCAATTGAATTGACCAAGCCCCTCGCTTTTGAAGCACCACTCACCTACATATGAAATATGAAATAGGCTTTCTATTTTCTATGGATGACTAGCATATTATCCACTGATATCAAATATTATTTTACCGCATACTGTTCTCAATGGGGTTCCCTCACCATCGCAAACCCAAACATTTTCATATTACTACCTACTCTATTTTATGCCCTATAAAAGCACCAATTACATATCCAAATCTACAGCCACCAGGAACATGTTATGTAATTAATTCATAAGGATGTCATAACAGACCACTCAAGTCTTCTATACAATTTATTTCGTGGTGTAGTTTATTTACACAAAGCAGTGTTGTGTGATATTGTCAATTTGCTTAACAGCTACAGGTTTTCGAAGCTCCATGTCAGTTTTCAGACAAACACTTTACGTTGACAAGTTAAAGTACTGACAAACAATCCATTCGTTTCTAAAATATCTAAGCTAAAATCATTTCTATTTCCAGCACCAGGAACATCACCAACTGCACCCGGAACTTCGCCAACTGTACCCGGAACTTCTCCCACAGGTAATAGCAGGACAACAATTATTTATATCTTGGTGTAGTCTATTTATACTAATCAACATTGGATAATATTGTCAATTTGTTTGATAGTCACACTTCTTCGAAGCCCAGGTATATTTTCAGATCAGCAGCCGAAGCCTTTAAAAACAAACAATTTATTTATCCAGCAGTATTAACTGCGCCCGGAACTTCTCCCATAGTTAAATGCATAACAACGGCGACCGGTAATTTCCGCAAAGTTAAATGCAGAACAATATGCAGAAAGCAGGGGACTACTAAAATAGGTTCGTCCGTCCATCTGTCCATCACACTTGGTGTTTATTAGTTGACTGCCTTAATGAAGTTCGAAGAGGAGCATGTTCTGCGTTGGGAAAAACAACTCTACTTTTAATTGATATAAAATGTTTAAACATGGTGTGGATGTTCATTAGGCGAATGTCTTGACTGCGTTCAATGATAAATATATTTACCGCTAGAGCTAAGCAGACAGAGCTAAGCAGTTTCATTGGTCGTTGCTTTGGGGCAAGATTACTTTGATTCTAACTGAGTGAAAGTGATGAAACTTAGTGTAACGTTTCACTCCCAGGTAGTCTACTTCAAAACCATGACTCGGTTCGACTAGGAACGTTTTCTTCTCAGACTAAGCGTAGATGATAACAGAGTCTGTCTGTATTTGATATGCGTGAAATAACTATAACAAGTTTCTCAGTTTCTTTTACCGCCACCGGAAAATCTCAAACATGCATGAAGTCTGTGAAAATTGAATCCATATTTCATTGGAGTTAACATTTATTCTTTTCACAATTTTTTCAGAGAGATGCGAGGAGATAAATGGAATGGAGAAACCAGCATTTATACCAAGTTCAAGTGTTGAGGGTTTGACACCTGACCAAGTGGATAATCTAAGGACAAGCGATGTCCCATTATCTATCATACCCAACGGCAGCAATCCTATACTATTTACCATAGATCTTTCACCTAATACCGATGAGGATGTCGATCTGGGATCCATCACATTCCCGAATGCTGAGAATTTCGAATCCATAGAAATAGTGCTGATTGATTCACAGGGCAATGAAACTCCTGTAACAGATCAAGTAAGTCTAATGTCTTAAATACTATATTCGAAGTAAATTTGGTAAAACAGTTACGTGCTTTACATTACGTTATTTGGCCACGAATATTAGTTTTTGAATATATGTATATGGATACTTACTGTGTATAAAGATATTTCATTGAGTGTATATCATTTATATCTGACAGTGCGAAAGAAGAATGTTTTTTATCAATGAGTGTATGATCTGCAAAGTAGCTTATATATCATAAAATTTAGTGATGGTGCCGAACTGTACATCGGTTGAACTAACAAGTTACAAATCAAAATATGCACGTTCAAAGATGCCACATTCAGATCCCATGAAAAGATATAGATATTTTATGGCTAAATTTAAATCCAAATAGATCATTTCAAAATAAATACAGTATTATACATATACTTCATTTTTATTATATAATTGTATTATTATTCTTCCATAAAATCACGTCATTTTTATTGTATGTCTTGAGAAACTCGGGCAAAACGTGTAGACAATTCAAAAATAGGAGAGCTTTAAAGAATTTTGATCCGTTTTGCTTAATATTAGCACTGCCATGGTTTCAGTTGGCAATTTAAAAATTCCCTATTTGTATAAATCATAGGACGCGCCACTAAAAGCGGATTTCCCTCGAGTAACCAAAGTTCAAACGATACGAGTTACTCTGGTGCCAACGAACGCTTCAGTTCCTGTCAAATTTAATTATTTTTTCATAAAGTCATGCCATTTATCTTTTAAACATACATTATGCAAGAGCTAAATCTGATTATTGCAAGTCATTTTTTAGGCTTCAGATGTCAAAGAAATTATGAATTAGATCTTTATTTACACAACAAGCACAAAATCAACTCTGTAGACGCACGGATGGCTTGGATTCGGGTGGATTTAAACAGGATTTTATTGATTGATTAAATTTTTAATCAAAAACCGTTACGTTGACGTCATACTGCCGGAAATTTTAGATCAAGGCTAAATGATAGAGTATACGAAGCGAGGCCGCTGTTGAGCGAGGCCGTATGTCAGTCAATTTGATTGAAAGTTCGATATATAGGGCCTTGAGATTATGTTTAGTTGTGGTTAAAATGAGAGTTTGGATGTCGGTATTATATGCTCTTTTGTCACTTGCGTTTACAGAAAAAATATGGAAATTGATAAACACCGCAGCTAACATCACCCCAGTTGAATTGCAGCCCCATTGGATCACTGTTTCCTATTAGTATTTGTCTGCTTCTAGAGTTACGTAGCCCTACCAGTTACAGTACAAGAAGTCGGCTATAATTATGCCTCATTGAGTTGGTCCATTCCTTTCAAACTTTCGCTTCTTGTCTATATATTAAAAGTCTTATTTTTAATTTGTAATAAAAATAAATGTGATACGAATTGAATTGCAACCACAGCCATTGAAAACGTTACTTGATAATCGAGATTATGTAGGTGGAGTTAACGCCTGTCAATCAAACGATCGGTCATTCTCGGAGACGGTGAAGAGGGAGTTGACTCCTATTTCTAGTCAAAAATTACAATGGTGATAACTTTGTTCAGAATAAAGTAATTTGACTGAAATTTTCAATATATTCTTCTTTCATCATCTATTTTTGAACTATTATAGCAAGAATGACCAACTCTCTATTAAAATCTCCCATAATGTATCTTTAAGGAATTTTTACCCGTTTTGCTCAATATTATCTATTTTGCCACGGTTTCAATTGACAATTTAAAAATGGTCTATTTGTATAACCATAGGCTGGTCTCCAGGACCCGATACCAAAAGCTGATTTCCCTCCAGAAACCAAAGCTCAAAAGATACGAGTTACTATTGTGCCAACAAACTCTACAGCTGCTGTTAAATTTAATTTGGATGTAAGAGCATGTTTTGAAGAGACTGCCACAGCAGGAACATCTCCCACAGGTTGGTCCTATTTATGTTTTAATGCATAATCTGATAAGATTTTACCAAAGAGTACGGCATATATCAAAGTTATCAGTAAGTTGACAAATGCAATCTAAATAATGAACAGAATTGTAAACATTATATTTTTATGTCAGAATGGTCTTAATCCCTATGGTATTGTTTGCTTAAAATATATCTATTGGAAATAAGCTTCCGTATGTAAAAGTATGTAACATACGCTTTCACCCAGAGTATATGAAACATCCCCAACTGCAGCACCACATAAAACATCACCGACTGCAGTGCCACCTGGAACATCTACTCGCATATCACATTAGCAATACACCTGGAACATTTCTTTCATATTAATGAGTTAAATGGGCCTTGCTAATTGATAGAAAATGCAGAACGTTGTATCTGTTAATCACGACAAATTGGCTATGAAGATGTGTTCTCTTGTCTGATGCAATAGTATAATAAATTTCGTATTTGTATAAGCAATGGCACCAAACACTACCGAGTCATTTCATCATAAACCTCCTAAGATATTGGTGCTATTGTACTTTTAGGAATAATATATCAATGAAACAAAGAATTACAAACTGATAAATAATTATCTTTCTAATACATAGCTAACGTTTTCACCCATAGCACCTGGAACATCCCCAACTACAGCGCCAACTGCAACATCACCTACTGCTCCACCACCCGGAACGTCCCCTACTGCTCCACCACCTGGAACATCCCCAACTGCTCCACCACCAGGAACATCGCCAACAGCAGCGCCACCTGGTACATCACCTACTGCTCTACCACCTGGAACATCGCCTACTGCTCCTCCGCCTGGAACATCACCTACTGTCCCTCCTCCAGGAACTTCACCTACTGCAGCACCACCAGGAACATCGCCTACTGCACCGCCACCAGGTACTTCTCCATCTGTCCCACCACCCGGCACATCGCCTACAGGTAATATTCATGACTAGATCTTTTTTGCCATTTTTCCATTGAACTGACCATGCCCATGGCTTTGGAAGCACCACCCACCTACATACGAAATATGAAATACGCTTTTTTTCCGTGGATGACAAGCATATTATCCACTGATATCAATCATTATTTTACCCAATACTATTCTTAATGGGGTTCAATCTCAAGCATTTTCATATTACTACTTGCTATACTTTATGATTTTTGAAATGTCGCCTTTCCTATCCATTAAATGTATATAATGTGTTATATTGGTATATTCATATATGGTTTAATTTACATTAGCATAGTTTTTGAGAAACAACAACAACATTGTTTGAATGCAACATCCTGTCATATAAAAGCACCAATTACAGATCCGAATCTACAATCATCAGGAACAGCTTATCTAATTTATAAGGATGTTATAGCAGACCACTAAATTACAATTATTTATTTCGTGATGTAGTTTATTTGCACAAAGAAGTAATGTGTGATATTGTCAATTGGCTTGACAGCTACACGTTTCCGAAGCTTCAGGCCAGTTTTCAGACAAGCACTTTAATTTGACCAATTCAAGTATTGACAAACAATTCTTTCTCCACTGAAATATCTAAGATAACATTATTTCTATCTGTAGCACCAGAAACTTCCCCAACTGGACCCGGGACTTCACCAACTGTGCCAGGAACTTCTCCCACAGGTAAATTATGCAAGTACAATTATTTTTTTCTTGGTGTAGTCTATTTACATAAAGCAGAATTGGAGGTTATTGTTTTTTCTTGGTGTAGTCTATTTACACAAAGAAGCAATGGATAATATTGCTAAAGAGCTTGACAGTTACACTTCTTCGAGGCCCAGCTTATATTTTCAGTCAAGCACTTTAATTTCAGCAGTCCAAGTCTGAAAAACAAATCAATTATATATCCAGCACCAAGAACTTCGCCATCGGCGCCCGGAACTTTTCCCGCAAACTACTTGAGGCCTCTTGTAGATATGATAAGGCTGAAAAGTGATATCTGAATAATTAAGTGTGATGATATTTAAAAGGGTTTATCGCTAATAGAAAACTGGTTACTCCAAGTTCCTGTTTTCGTGATCGTGCATTTTCCGTGAATTTAATTCTAAATATCGTGTATTAGCTATAGTTTACATTATTAACTTCATATTCTGTAAATTTGACTACATGGAATTCAATATCAACTAATAGAAAACTAGTCACTCCAAGTTCCTTTTTTCATGAGCATGCCTTTTCCTCGAATTACAGTTGTCTGTACTGAAGTAAATGGAATGGATAATCCTGCTATTATCCCTACATCAAGTATTACAACTGTGCCAGCAGCAACTGATGTAGAAAACCTGAGACCAGCAAGTACAGACACAGCCACCTTCCCTGCTGGAAGTACACCAGATGTAACAATTGATTTGACACCAGTCACAAATGAAGAGGTAGAACTTAAATCAGTGCAGCTTGTATCGCCCGATAATGTTCAATCTATTAGAGTATTTGTAACTCCAACTGGCGGTTCAGAAACAGAAGCTGCATACTTGAACCCAGTAAGTACATTTTGTTTCGTCTTGATATTATGTGTGTTTATGTACACATCGTTCTGGCTTGGTGTAGCAAGTATTGCTACAGACAAAGACTGACAATGTCAGCTGTATGTTTATTCCGTTTATTCCTGTACTCAGTATCGGAACGACTCCGACATCTGAATACATAACAATAGACAGTGGCGAGACTTTTGATTAAATATAAGAGGCTACCCCCCCCCCCCCCACAATGTTTATCCACGCCACAACCAAATATCACCTACATCACTGCCCAATTAATTTTAATTTGTCTATAGCATTGTCTTTCTCAACATGTTTCTTTTCGAGATTCCTAATTGATGTGTATTTTAACCTGTGATTTGCATTGTTTTTAAGGCTGATTTATCGTTACCTATCCCTAAAGCTTCATTCCCTGCTGGAACAGTAGCCGAAAAAATCAGAATCGAAGTAACACCAACCTCTTCAGGCCAGCCTACTTCTTTTAAGATTGATGTCAGAGCGTGCTTTGAAGGTATATAATATTAAATAGTCGACTGATTGGGACAATGTAGGGTCGTATGGTGCACTCCTGTCGTTCAAATGAGAACTGTAATACTCAATCATTTTGAACTGATATAAATATTAAACCAATGGACGGGCAATATGAAACCAACTAACCACATGGGTTCCTCGATTTCCTGCAAGTGCTAAAGACCCGTGATGCATCCAAGTTATTACTTGACATGTTATGTTTTGATCATTTTAGAAACAATCACCTACTGTAACTAACATCCTGTTTATTAATTATTTTAGAAACAGCCGGACTCGGTACATCACCTACAGTGACAATTGGAACATCACCTACAGTGGCAATTGGGACATCACCAACCTGTAATTATATATATTCAACTTTTTTCTTTTCTGTATCCGACATTAGTTTATATTAAGATATGTCTTCTTAATTTCTGGCTTGTACTATAAAAACATATGCAGATATGTTCAATTTTACCAATCTTGCTATATAATTTGGAAGGTTTAATACTTTTCTTGCTCTTGTATAAACAAGCTATAGTACCAGGGTTTGATAGAGATTAACCAGTCAGTTAAAGCAGCGTTGTTTAAATTACTCAAGCTTTCAGAAACGATTCTGATATTCTATTAAAATATTTATTTATTATTATTTACAGTGGGATCAACTACACGTAAGTTAATGTATACAGTCATGTTTAAATCATAAATCATAACAATATAAACGTCGTTCAACAATTAAACATTGGACTTGAAATATCATAAACATATATTATATTTTATCATTCTATCCTATAATGTCTTTAATTATTAGCAATCAACAATCAATTGTCTTTTTTCCAGCACGATGTGTTGTAACAGAAGGAATGGGAAGCCCAACAGTTATACCTGATACTTACCTTGAACAAGAACCTGCCTTCCCATCGACAGATAACCCAGCAGATCTGAGACCAGGCGATGATCCATTTACAATTAACCCATCGGACACGCCTACCAACGTCACATTGAAAGTTACTGGGGGTGAACCCGTTGATCTGTCAGAAGTAAATCTTCCAGTCAGGGAAAATGTCAAGACATTTAGAGTATTTGGACGCACGGGACCTTCAGCACCATGGACCCTACTTGAATCTACTGATGTAAGTATTCGGATCTTTAACAATTAAGAAATGACGCTGCTTAAGTCCAAATTCAGATATGTTACAATTTCAAATGTATTTTATTCTTTATAATTCCTTTGGTGTTTATGTTTGGACGATACCACGAAATATTTATTTTTGGGGATAGCCATGTTAGATATGTTGAATATCTTGTGTTTATTTATATATGCTAACAGGATGATCCTTCAGACGGTATTCTTACATTCCCACCGGAAGTAGTTGTCACAGATATTTTGGTAGAGATAACACCCACAAACATTACCGAACCAATTAATATTGATGTTAGTGTACACGCTTGCTTCGAAGGTGAGTATCTAATATATCCTGAACTTAAAGTGGACCACAAAATTTGTAAAAGAGTATGAACCATCCTCATCTGTGCTATAAACCTGACCTGTATAAAGCCTTAATCTATCTCTCTCTCTATCGCACAAAATACAACTATACACTTTACAATGACTTCTTTTTTACAGTGACAACTGGTACACCAGGAACATCGCCAACAGGTAGGGTATAAATACATTCTAAATAATAAGTTCTCCATTATCTTAAACCAATAATCTGGTGATTCGACTAATGGCCTTGGGTTATCTCTTTCCATTATCTTTAGCTTCGGAAATCCATGTCCAAACTGTCACTTCATTTTACTGTTGAAAGTGTCAAGAGTCGTGCTCATCGCAGGGTATGCTAACTTTTTCTAAAACACTTACTAATTCTTCTTTGGTTAGTTCACATAGCTTACATATTTTAAGTATGTCATATTAAAAAAAAATTTTAATTCTGTCGACTAAAAATTAGATAATTTACGACATATTTCTTAATAAATAATTTAGGACCACCAGTAGTTACTTCACCTACATTGCCAGTGCAATTTGAATCACCAACTGCAACACAGGGAACACCACCACCAGTGCCATCATCACCCACAGGTTGGTAGTTGATACTCCTTCCCGGTTTGTAGCAATATAGTGGTTGCGACATTGTTTATAAATTTATAGGCTGGCTAAGGTGGAGACATGGTTTTAGCTAGTATTGTTATATATAATGCTTGTATACGTGTATTCGGCTATATATATATATATATATATATATATATATATATATATATATATATATATAAAATGTAGAAGCGAACTGTTGCATTGTTATTCCTGGTAAGACAAACGTCTTAAGAAAACTGTAAGAAGTAAATACACAACGTGAAACAGAAGTAAAGACAGGTAGACACAAATTCTAGACGACCACAAGCCTACAGAAATATGTAGTAAGAAAAGATGCATGGGTCGTATGTACGATGTGGCGACCGGTCTGGCATTCCCGCTCTCCACGTCAGACGAAAGACCTATGGTGCTACAGGTTGCCAGTTGGCTAAATCCATATTAAATATGTAAACAAGTCCAACTATTTAAACCAGTGAGGTGGTAACTTTTACGTAACGACTTTAGATTACTGCCATGCAAGTGTATGCGCTATTAGCCATTTTCTTCCTATTAAATCTATATGCAGGGTCGTGATACAGTATAAAAGTAGAGGCTACAAAGTCAAGACACTCAAGGCAAACTGTTGATTTGGTCCTTGGCTTTGGGTTATCTTATTTCCAATTTATTCAGCTTCAAAAATCCCTTGTCAAAACTGTCACTTCATTTTACTTTTGAAAATGGCAAGAGTCATGCTCATGGCACGATATGCTTCTGAATAATATATCAACGAAACCGATACTTACGAATGGATCAATAATTATCTTTTCAACACATGGTTAACGTTTTCACCCACAGCACCTGGAACATCACCTACAGCAGCGCCACCAGGAACATCACCTACTACTACACCACCAGGAACATCCCCAACAGAAGCACCACCTGGAACATCACCTACTGCTCCCCTACCTGGAACGTCACCTAGTGCGTCACCACCTGGAACATCCCCAACTGCTCCACCACCTGGAACATCCCCAACTGCTTCACCACCTGGCACATCTCCTACTGTTCCACCATCTGGAACATCACCTACTGTGTCACCACCAGCAACATCACCTACTGTTCCAACACCTGGAACATCCCCTACTGCACCCCCACCAGGTACTTCGCCAACTGCTCCACCAACCGGCACATCGCCTGCAGGTAATATTCCTGACCAAGTCAGTGGCATTTGAAGCACCACACACTTTCATCATCTGGGTTACATACAAAACGCAAACATTTTGATGTTATTACCTACGCTATTTTGTGACTTTACAAATGCCATCTATGTATTTATATCAATGTAATTCATTAGTACATTCATATATAGTTTAATTTACATAAGCCTATATTTGAAAAAAAAGCCGTACCTTGAATGCAATAAAATGCCCTATAAAAGCGCCAATGCCAGATCTGAATGTACAATTCTCAGTATCAGGTTTTGTATCTCACAAGTGTGTTATAACAGAACACTAAAGACATCTATATAATTATTAATTTCGAAGGTGTAGTCTATTTGCACACAGCAGTTTTGGATGATATTGTCATTTTGTCGACTCCCTGGATCAGTTTAACTTGTGCTTTTCACGTATTGACAAACAATTCATTCTTTTCTGAAATATCAAAGATAAAATCACTTCTATCCCAGGCACAAGGTAAATAGGACAACAAGTCAACTATGCGATTATAAATATAAAGCCGATAAAATTGTCAAATTGCTTTATAGTTACACTTTTTCAGAAAAGTACTAGAATATAAGCTTTTAAAGTATAGACAAACAATTCATTCTTTTCTAAAATACCTAATATAAAATCATTTCTGTCTCCAGCACCAGGAACTTCGCCAACGGCACCCGGAACTTCTCCAACTGTACCCGGAACTTCACCGATTGCGCCTGGAACTTCTCCCACAGGTATTAGAAGAACAAAAAGTCAACTATTTTAATTACAATTATATATATCAGAATTTTGGGCTATTTACACAAAGCAGTATTAGATAATATTGTCAATGCGCTTGTCAGTTACAGTTCTTCGAGGCCCTGCTTATATTTTCAGACAAGCACTTTAATTTCAGAATTCAAAAAACAAATCATTAATACATCCAGCACCATGAACTTCGCCATCGGCGTCCGGGACTTCTCCCACAAACTACTACAGGGTCTCTTATAGTTATGATGAAACTGGAAATTTCAATAAAATCAATACTTCCAAATGGATCAATAATTATATTTTTAACACATAGTTAACGTTTTCGCCCACAGCACTTGGAGCATCCCCAACTGTAGCGCCACCTGGAACATCACCTACAGCAGCGCTACCTGGAACCTCACCCACTGCTCCACCACCAGGGACTTCTCCAAATGTTCCACTACCAGGAACATCCCCAACAGCAGCGCCACCTGTAACATCACCCACTGCCCCACCGCCTGGAACATCACCTACTGCTCCACCACCCGGAACTTCCCCTACTGCTCCACCACCTGGAACATCACCTACTGCTCCACCGCCTGGAACGTCACCTACTGCCCCACCTCCTGGAACATCGCCTACTGCTCCACCGTCTGGAACATCACCTATTGCCCCACCTCCAGGAACTTCACCTACTGCAGCACCACCAGGAACATCGCCTACTGCACCTCCACCAGGTACCTCTCCCTCTGTACCACCGCCTGGCACATCGCCTACAGGTAATATTCATCACTAGATTAGTTTTCCCATGTCAATTGAATTGACCAAACCCATCGCTTTTGAAGCACCATCCACCTACAAACGAAATATTTTTCTTTGGATGACTAGCATATTATCCACTGATATCAATCATTATTTTACCGCATACTGTTCTTAATGGGGTTCCATCACCATCCCAAACATTTTCATATTACTAACTACTCTATTTGATGCCTTTACACAATTTACATATCCAAATCTACAGTCACCAGGAACATGTTATGTAATTTAAAAGGATGGTATAGCAGACCACTCAATCTTCCATACAATTATAATTATTTATTTCGTGGTGTAATTTATTTCCACAAAGCAGTTTTGTGTGATATTGTCAATTTCCTAAACATCTACAGGTTTTCGAAGCTCCATGTCAGTTTTCAGAAAAACACTTTAAGTTGACTAGTTCTAGTACTGACAAACAAACCATTCGTTTGTTAAATATCTAAGATAAAATCATTTCTATCTCCAGCACCAGGAACGTCACCAACTGCACCCGGAACTTCGCCAACTGTGCCCGGAACTTCTCCCACAGGTAATAGCAGCACAACAATTATTTATATCTTGGTGTAGTCTATTTATGCTAATCAACATGGGTTAATATTGTCAATTTGTTTGACAGTCACACTTCTTCGAAGTCCAGGTATATTTTCAGATAAGCAGTCGAAGCCTTTAAAAACAAACAATTTATTTATCCAGCACCATTAACTGCGCCCTGAAATTCTCCCACAGTTAAATGCATAACAACGGCGACCGGTAATTTCCGCATAGTTAAACGCAGAAAAACAAAATTTTCTTTACAATTTTTTATTTAGTGGTGTAATCTCATTACAAAAAGATATTACCAGTTTGCCTGACAGCTAACCTTTGTCGACGCGCCAGATCCGTCTTCAGAACAACACTTGAAATTCTTTTCTAAAATATTTAAGGCCAAGATTAAGGCGTTGATTCTATTATGAAAATAAATCAGATAAAGATGAAATCATTTCTGTTTCTAGCCCCCGGGACTTCTCCCACTGCGACAGCATCTTTCCCCAAAGTTAAATGCAGAACAACAAGTCTTACATTGCAATTTTTTATTTAGTGATGTAATCTACTTACAAACAGATATCACCGCTAAGCTTTGTCGACACCTCAGTAATAAAAACAATTCATTTCTGAAGTATTTAATGCCACGATTTTGTGACTTTACAAATGCCATCTATGTATTTATATCAATGTATTTCATTAGTACATTCATATATAGTTTAATTTACATAAGCCTATTTTTGAAAAAAAAAGCCGTACCTTGAATGCAATAAAATGCCCTATAAAAGCGCCAATGCCAGATCTGAATGTACAATTCTCAGTATCAGGTTTTGTATCTCACAAGTGTGTTATAACAGAACACTAAAGTCATCTATACAATTATTAATTTCGAAGGTGTAGTCTATTTGCACACAGCAGTATTGGATGATATTGTCATTTTTCGACTCCCTCGATCAGTTTAACTTGTGCTTTTCACGTATTGACAAACAATTCATTCTTTTCTGAAATATCAAAGATAAAATCATTCTATCCCCAGCACAAGGGACTTCCCCAACGGCACCCGGAGTCATGGGTAAATAGGACAAGTCAACTATACGATTATGAATATAAAGCAGAGGCGGATAAAATTGTCAAATTGCTTTATAGTTACACTTTTTCAGAAAAGTACTTGAATATAAGCTTTTAAAGTATAGACAAGCAATTCATTCTTTTCTAAAATACCTAATATAAAATCATTTCTGTCTCCAGCACCAGGAACTTCACCAACGGCACCCGGAACTTCTCCAACTGTACCCGGAACATCACCGACTGCGCCTGGAACTTCTCCCACAGGTAATAGAAGAACAAAAAGACAACTATTTTAATTACAATTATTTATATCAGAATTTGGTCTATTTACACAAAGCAGTATTGGATAATGTTGTCAATGTGCTTGTCAGTTACAGTTCTTCGAGGCCCTGCTTATATTTTCAGACAAGCACTTTAATTTCAGACTTGAAAAACAAATCATTAATATATCCAGCACAATGAACTTCGACATCCGCTCCCGGGACTTCTCCCACAAACTACTGCAGGGTCTCTTATAGTTATGATGAAGCTGGAAATTTCAATAAAATCAATACTTACAAATGGATCAATAATTATATTTTTAAAACATAGCTAACGTTTTTGCCCACAGCACTTGGAGCATCCCCAACTGTAGCGCCACCTGGAACATCACCTACAGCAGCGCTACCTGGAACCTCACCCACTGCTCCACCACCAGGGACTTCTTCAACTGTTCCACCACCAGGAACATCCCCAACAGCAGCGCCACCTGGGACATCGCCAACTGCCCCACCTCCTGGAACATCACCTACTGTTCCACCACCCGGAACGTCCCCCACTGCTCCACCACCTGGAACATCACCTACTTCTCCACCGCCTGGAACATCGCCTACTGCTCCACCAGGAACTTCACCAACGGCACCCGGAACTTCTCCAACTGTACCCGGAACTTCACCGATTGCGCCTGGAACTTCTCCCACAGGTAATAGAAGAACAAAAAGACAACTATTTTAATTACAATTATTTATATCAGAATTTGGTCTATTTACACAAAGCAGTATTGGATAATGTTGTCAATGTGCTTGTCAGTTACAGTTTTTCGAGGCCCTGCTTATATTTTCAGACAAGCACTTTAATTTCAGACTTGAAAAACAAATCATTAATATATCCAGCACAATGAACATCGACATCCGCGCCCGGGACTTCTCCCACAAACTACTACACGGTCTCTTATAGTTATGATGAACCTGGAAATTTCAATAAAATCAATACTTACAAATGGATCAATAATTATATTTTTAAAACATAGCTAACGTTTTTGCCCACAGCACTTGGAGCATCCCCAACTGTAGCGCCACCTGGAACATCACCTACAGCAGCGCTACCTGGAACCTCACCCACTGCTCCACCACCAGGGACTTCTTCAACTGTTCCACCACCAGGAACATCCCCAACAGCAGCGCCACCTGTAACATCACCCACTGCCCCACCTCCTGGAACATCACCTACTGTTCCACCACCCGGAACGTCCCCCACTGCTCCACCACCTGGAACATCACCTACTTCTCCACCGCCTGGAACATCGCCTACTGCTCCACCAGGAACTTCACCAACGGCACCCGGAACTTCTCCAACTGTACCCGGAACTTCACCGATTGCGCCTGGAACTTCTCCCACAGGTAATAGAAGAACAAAAAGACAACTATTTTAATTACAATTATTTATATCAGAATTTGGTCTATTTACACAAAGCAGTATTGGATAATGTTGTCAATGTGCTTGTCAGTTACAGTTTTTCGAGGCCCTGCTTATATTTTCAGACAAGCACTTTAATTTCAGACTTGAAAAACAAATCATTAATATATCCAGCACAATGAACATCGACATCCGCGCCCGGGACTTCTCCCACAAACTACTACACGGTCTCTTATAGTTATGATGAATCTGGAAATTTCAATAAAATCAATACTTACAAATGGATCAATAATTATATTTTTAAAACATAGCTAACGTTTTTGCCCACAGCACTTGGAGCATCCCCAACTGTAGCGCCACCTGGAACATCACCTACAGCAGCGCTACCTGGAACCTCACCCACTGCTCCACCACCAGGGACTTCTCCAACTGTTCCACCACCAGGAACATCCCCAACAGCAGCGCCACCTGTAACATCACCCACTGCCCCACCTCCTGGAACATCACCTACTGCTCCACCACCCGGAACGTCCCGCACTGCTCCACCACCTGGTACATCACCTACTTCTCCACGGCCTGGAACATCACCTACTGCCCCACCTCCTGAAACATCGCCTACTGCTCCACCGTCTGAAACATCACCTACTGCCCCACCTCCAGGATCTTCACCTACTGCAGCACCACCAGGAACATCGCCCACTGCACCTCCACCAGGTACTTCTCCCTCTGTCCCACCGCCTGGCACATCGCCTACATGTAATATTTATCACTAGATTTTTCTGTGGATGACTAGCATATTATCCACTGATATCAATCATTATTTTACCGCATACTATTCTTTATGGGGTTTCATCACCATCCCAAACATTGTCATATTACTACCTACTCTGTTTGATGCTTTATAAAAGCACCATTTACATATCCAAATCTACAGTCACCAGGAACATGTTATGTAATTCATAAGGATGTTGAAGCAGACCACTCAAGTCTTCTATACAATTATAATTATTTATTTCGTGGTGTAGTTTATTTCCACAAAGCAGTATTGTGTGATATTGTCAATTTGCTTAACAGCTACAGGTTTTCGAAGCTCCATGTCAGTTTTCAGACAAACACTTTAAGTTGACTAGTTCAAGTACTGAAAAACAATCCATTCGTTTCTTAAGTATCTAAGATAAAATCATTTCTATCTCCAGCACCAGGAACTTCACCAACTGCACCCGGAACTTCGCCAACTGTGCCCGGAACTTCTCCCACAGGTAATAGCAGGACAACAATTATTTATATCTTGGTGTAGTCTATTTATACTAATCAACATGGGTTAATATTGTCAATTTGTTTGACAGTCACACTTCTTCGAAGTCCAGGTATATTTTCAGATAAACAGTCGAAGCCTTTAAAAAGAAATAATTAATTTATCCAGCACAACTAACTGCGCCCGGAAATTCTCCCACAGTTAAATGCATAACAACGGCGACCGGTAATTTCCACAAAGTCAAATGCAGAAAAACAAGATTTTCTGTACAATTTTTTTATTTAGTGGTGTAATCTCATTACAAAAAGATATTACCAGTTTGCCTGGCAGCTAATCTTTGTCGACACACCAGATCCGTCTTCAGAACAACACTTGAATCTTTTCTAAAATATTTAAGGCCAAGGTTTAACACCTGCGTTGATTCTATTATGAAAATAAATCAGATAAAGATGAAATCATTTCTGTTTCTAGCTCCCGGGACTTCCCCCACTGCGACAGCTTCTTTCCCCAAAGTTAAATGCAGAACAACAAGTCTTACATTTCAATTTTTTATTTAGTGATGTAATCTACTTACAAACAGATATCACCGCTAAGCTTTGTCGACACCTTAGTAATAAAAAAATTCATTTCTGAAGTATTTAATGCCACGATTTTGTGACTTTACAAATGCCATCTACGTATTTATATCAATGTAGTTCATTAGTACATTCATATATAGTTTAATTTACATAAGCCTATTTTTGAAAAAAAAGCCGTACCTTGAATGCATTAAAATGCCCTATAAAAGTGTCAATTCCAGATCTGAATATACAATTTTCAGTATCAGGTTTTGTATCTCACAAGTGTGTTATAACAGATCACTAAAGTCATCTATACAATTATTAATTTCGAAGGTGTAGTCTATTTGCACACAGCAGTATTGGATGATATTGTCATTTTCTCGACTCCCTCGATCAGTTTAACTTGTGCTTTTCACGTATTGACAAACAATTCATTCTTTTCTGAAATATCAAAGATAAAATCATTCTATCCCCAGCACAAGGGGCTTCCCCAACGGCACCCGGAACCATAGGTAAATAGGACAACAAGTCAACTATGCGATTATAAATATAAAGCAGAGGCGGATAAAATTGTCAAATTGCTTTATAGTTACACTTTTTCAGAAAAGTACTTGAATATAAGCTTTTAAAGTATAGACTAACAATTCATTCTTTTCTAAAATACCTAATATAAATTCTTTTCTGTATCCAGCACCAGGAACTTCACCAACGGCACCCGGAACTTCTCCAACTGTACCCGGAATTTCACCGACTGCGCCTGGAACTTCCCCCACTGCTCCACCACCTGGAACATCACCTACTGCTCCACCGCCTGGAACATCACCTACTGCCCCACCTCCTGGAACATCGCCTACTGCTCCACCGTCTGGAACATCACCTACTGCCCCACCTCCGGGATCTTCACCTACTGCACCACCACCAGGAACATCGCCCACTGCACCTCCACCAGGTACTTCTCCCTCTGTCCCACCGCCTGGCACATCTCCTACAGGTAATATTCATCACTAGATTTGTTTTAACATTTGCCAATTGAATTGACCAGACCCATCGCTTTTAAAGCACCACCCACCTACAAACGAAATATTTTTCTATGGATGACGAGCATATTATCCATTGATATCAATCATTTTTTTACCGCATACTATTCTTTATGAGGTTCCATCACCATCCCAAACATTGTCATATTACTACCTACTCTATTTGATGCCTTATAAAAGCACCATTTACATATCCAAATCTACAGTCACCAGGAACATGTTATGTAATTTATAAGGATGTTATAGCAGACAACTCAAGTCTTCTATACAATTATAATTATTTTTTTCGTGGTGTAGTTTATTTCCACACAGCAGTATTGTGTGATATTGTCAATTTGATTAACGACTACAGGTTTTCGAAGCTCCATATCAGTTTTCAGACAAACACTTTAAGTTGACTAGTTCAAGTACTGACAAACAATCTAATCGTTTCTTAAATATCTAAGATAAAATCATTTCTATCTCCAGCACCAGGAACTTCACCAACTGCACCCGGAACTTCGCCAACTGTGCCCGGAACTTCTCCCACAGGTAAAAGCAGGACAACAATTATTTATATCTTGGTGTAGTTTATTTATACTAATCAACATGGGTTAATATTGTCAATTTGTTTGACAGTCACACTTCTTCGAAGTCCAGGTATATTTTCAGATAAGCAGTCGAAGCCTTTAAAAACAAACAATATTTTCTTTACAATTTTTTATTTAGTGGTGTAATCTCATTACAAAAAGATATTACCAGTTTGCCTGACAGCTAACCTTTGTCGACACGCCAGATCCGTCTTCAGAACAACACTTGAATCTTTTCTAAAATATTTAAGGCCAAGGTTTAACACCTGCGTTGATTCTATCATGAAAATAAATCAGATAAAGATGAAATCATTTCTGTTTCTAGCTCCCGGGACTTCCCCCACTTCGACAGCTTCTTTCCCCAAAGTTAAATGCAGAACAATAAGTCTTACATTTCAATTTTTTATTTAGTGATGTAATCTACTTACAAACAGATATCACCGCTAAGCTTTGTCGACACCTCAGTAATAAAAACAATTCATTTCTGAAGTATTTAATGCCAAGATTTAACACCTGCGTTGATTCTATTATGGAAATAAATGAGATAAATATGAAAACATTTCTATTTCTAGCTCCTGGAACTTCTCCCACTCAGACTAAGCGTAGGTGATAACAGGGTCTGCCTGTAATTGATATGCATGAAATCACCATAACAAGTTTCTCAGTTTCTTTTACCGCCACAGGAAAATCTCAAACAGGAACTTTGTACCTTTGTACGAATCCGTTAAAGGATATTATAATTCTCTCAAGAAAGAATATTTAACTCTCTAGGCCTCTTCCATGAAGTCTGTGAAAATTGAATCCATATTACATTGAAGTTAACATTTATTGATTCACAATTTTTTCAGAGAGATGCGAAGAGACAAATGGAATGGAGAATCCAGCATTGATACCAAGTTCAAGTGTTGAGGGTTTAACACCTGACCAAGTGGATAATCTAAGAACAAGCGATGTCCCGTTATCTATCATGCCGGACGGCATCAGTCCTATACTATTTACCATAGATCTTTCACCTAATACCGATGTGGATGTCGATATGGGATCTATCACATTCCCGAATGCTGAGAATATCGAATCCATAGAAATAGTGCTGATTGATTCACAGCTCAATGAAACTCCTGTAACAGACCAAGTAAGTCTTAAGTCTCAAATGCTATATTCGACGTAAATTTGGTAAAACAATTAGGTGCTTTACATTACGTTACTTGGCCTAAAAATATTAGTTTTTGAATATATGTATATGGATACTTACTGTGCATAAAGATATTTCATTGAGTGTAAATCATTTATTTTTGACAGTGTGAAAGAAGAATTTTTTATTAATGAGTGTATGAACTACAAAGTACTTTATGTATATATCATAAAATTTAGTGATGGGGCCGAACTGTACATCGGTTGAACTAACAAGTTACAAAACAGAGTAACGGCCCAAAGACAACAAGTTAGGAAACCCGTCATAGAGAGATCTCTTTGAGTGAGCACCTTGATATCTGCGGTAAAGGGGAGTTCAAAATATGCACGATTAAATCCAAATAGATCATTTCAAAATAAATACAGTATTATACATATCCTTCATTTCTATTATATATTCTTCAAAAAAATTAGGAAATATTCAGAAACAATACAAAACTGCGAAAATGCACTGCTGTTTTTTATTAGAGGTAATCAGTGTATGTTAATAACAGGCCAATCGCCTACACATGAACATAAACAGTTCATATGGGCGGCTTATCTGACGGCCCCATTTCACTCGCAAAGATATACTGTATGAAATAATGAGTAATGAGTATTTGCTCCAGAAATCCATAGACATTCAGCAATTCGTCATGGCATGCTCCTAATCAACGGTCCAATCACAATTTGGGACAATCTGACCCACTCCTCTTGCAGTGCCACGGCCAATTCTTGCAGTTTTGTCGGTTGACGTTGACGTCGACGAACACGTCTTCCGATCATGTCCCAGGCATGCTCTATAGGGGAAAGGTGAGGACTCATGGACAATATGGTGACGCTGGAGGTAGTTATTCACGACACGTGAGCGGTGGGCACGGGCATTATCATCTTGAAAGATGAAACGTCGACCTGCACTATGGGTGCTAGGATGTGGTCACGGTAGTAAACACCAGTCTCCCTTCCTTGAACAATATGCAAACCGTTTTACCGGTCATGGTAATTCTTCCCCACACCATAAAAGACCCACGCACGAATCTGTCATGCTGTCTGATGTTACCGTTAGCATGACACTCATTTACACGCCTCCAAACGCAAACACGTCTATCGGTGAAATCCAGAGTAAATCTGGACACATCTGAGAACATTACACACGCCCATCAACGATTACCCGGATTTCTACGTTGCCTACACCATACACACCAGTGACCCTTCCTTGAACAATATGCAAACCGTTCTGCCAATTATGGTGATTCCTGTCCACACCGTAATAGACCCTCCCCGAATCTGTCATGCTGTCTGATGTTAACGTTAGCATGACGCTCATTTCCACGCCTCGAAACGCGAGCAAGCCTATCAGTGAAATCCAGAGTAAATCTGGCCTCGCCTGAGAACATTACACGGGCCCATCGACGAGTACTCCAATTTCTACGCTGCCTACAACATTGACGCCTGTTTGCCATGTGCTGGCGAGTTAATGGAGGCACAGCACGCGGTCATAGCGCATGCAAAGGGGTTGCATGTAGCCGATTTCTAACCGTTTGGGGTGTAACTTGGTACAAGTTCATCATGTTGAAGGTGTCTCATTGCAAATTAAACGTAACATACTAAAGCAAAGATACGCTAAACAGTAAATCTTATGCAAGAACCAATAGGAAAGCAAACATGGATCGGATAAACCATAAGTTCTCCATCTTTGAACATACTCTCAAAGCATGTCAATTGTCCATGACTATTTATCATATCACACCCTGGATAGGTATTTGCATTTCAATATCCCCTACTATTTTAAGAGTATATAATTGTATTATTATTCTTCCATAACGTCACGTCATTTTTATTGTATGTCTTGAAAAGTTCAGACACAAAGTGTAGACAATTCAAAAATAGTACCCTTTTAAAGAATTTTGATCCGTTTTGCCCAATATTAGGACTGCCATGGTTTCAATTGGCCATTTAAAAATGACCTAATTGTATAAATCATAGGACGCGCCACTAAAAGCTGATTCGCTTCCAGTAACCAAAGCTCAAAAGATACAAGTTACTCTGGTGCCAACGAATGTTTCAGTTCCTGTCAGATTTTATTTTTCTTTCATATAAAGTCGCGGCATTTTTATTGTATGTCTTGAAAACCTCGGTCGAAACGTTTAGTTAAACAACAGTACCCTTTAAAAGCATTATAATCCCTTTTGCTTAATATTATCTCTTTTGTCACGGTTTCAATTGGCAATTTAAAAATGGTCTATTTGTATAACCATAGGCTGGTCTCCAGGACCCGACACCAAAAGCTGATTTCCCTCCAGAAACCAAAGCTCAAAAGATACGAGTTACTATTGTGCCAACAAACTCTTCAGCTGCTGTTAAATTTGGTTTGGATGTAAGAGCATGTTTTGAAGAAACTGCCACAGCAGGAACATCTCCCACAGGTTGGTCCTATTTATGTTTTAATGCATAATCTGAAAATACTTTACCGACAAATACGGCATATATCAAAGTTATCAGTAAGTTGACAAATGCAATTTAAATAATGAACAGAATTGTAAACATTATATTTTTATGTCAGTATGGTCTTAATCTCTATGGTATTGTTTGCTTAAAATATATATATTTGAAATAAGCTTCCGTATCTAAACGTATGTAGCATACGCTTTCACCCGCAGTATCTGAAAAATCCCCAACTGCAGCGCCACCTAAAACATCACCGACTACAGCGCCACCTGGAAAATCTACTCGCATATCACATTACCAATATACCTGGAACATTTTTTCATATTAATGAGTTAAATGAGTCTTGATAATTGATAGAAAATGCAGACCGTTATACCTGGTAATCACGGCAAATTGGCTATGAAGATGTGTTCTCTTGTCTGATGCAATAGTATAATCAATTTTGTATTGGTATGCATAATGGCACCAAACACTACCGAATCATTTCATCATAAACCTCCTAAGATATTGGTGCTATTGTACTTTTAGGAATAATATATTAATGCAACAAAGAATTACAAACTGATATATAATTATCTTTATAATACATAGCTAACGTTTTCACTCATAGCACCTGGAACATCCCCAACTACAGCGCCAACCGCAACATCACCTACTGCTCCACCACCCGGAACTTCCCCTACTGCTCCACCACCTGGTACATCCCTAACTGCTCCACCACCAGGAACATCGCCAACAGCAGCACCACCTGGTACATCACCAACTGCTCTACCACCTGGAACATCACCTACTGCTCCTCCGTCCGGAACATCACCTACTGCCCCGCCTCCAGGAACCTCACCTACTGCAGCACCACCAGGAACATCGCCTACTGCACCGCCACCAGGTACTTCTCCATCTGTCCCACCACACGGCACATCGCCTACAGGTAATATTCATGACTAGATCTTTTTTGACATTTGTCCATTGAATTGACCAAGCCCTTGGCTTTTGAAGCACCACCCACCTACGTACGAAATATGAAATACACTTTCTATTTTTCCGTGGATGACTAGCATATTATCAATTGATATCAATCATTATTTTACCCAATACTATTCTTAATGGGGTTCCATTTCAATCATTTTCATATTACTACTTGCTCTACTTTATGATTTTTTAAATGTCATCTTTCCTATCCATTAAAAGTATATAATGTGTTATATTAGTACATTCATATATGGTTTAATTTACATTTGAGAAAGAAAAACACTTGCTTGAATGCAACAAACTGTCATATAAAAGCACCAATTACAGATCCGAATCTACAATCATCAGGAACAGCGTATCTAATTTACAAGGATGGTATAGCAGGCCACTAAATTTATCTATTAAATTACAATTATTTATTTCGTGGTGTAGTCTATTTGCACAAAGAAGTAATGTGTGATATTGTCAATTGGCTTGACAGCTACACGTTTCCGAAGCTTCAGGCCAGCTTTCAGACAAACACTTTAATTTGACCAAACAATTCTATCTCCACTGAAATATCTAAGATAAAATTATCTTAAAAGATATTCGTTTATAGAATATCTAAGATAAAATAATTTCTATCTCCAGCACCAGGAACTTCACCAACTGCACCCGGAGGAACTTCGCCAACTGTGCCCAGAACTTCTCCCACAGGTAATAGCAGGACAACAATTATTTTATCTTGGTGTAGTCTATTTATACTAAACCGGTTTATGTAATATTGTCACAGTCACACTTCTTTGAATCCCAGGTATATTTTCAAAAAAGCAGTCGAAGCCTTTAAAAACAAACAATTTATTTATCCAGCACAATTAACTGCGCCCGGAACTTCTCCCACAGTTAAATGCATAACAACGGCGACCGGTAATTTCCGCAAAGTTAAGTGCAGAGCAACAATATTTGCTTTACAATACTATTCTCAATGGGTTCCATCCTAATCCAAACATGTTCATATTACTACCTACTCTATTTTATGCTGTATAAAAGCACCAATTACAGATCAAAATCTACAGTCACCAGGAACATGTTATGTAATTCATAAGTATGTTATAGCAGACCACTTTTATGCAATTAAAATTATTTATTTCATAGTGTAGTTTATTTCCACAAAGCAGTATTGTGTTATATTATCAATTTGCCTAACAGCTACACATTTTCGAAGCTCCATGTCTGTGTTCAGACAAAAACTTTAAGTTCATGTACAGACAAAACATCCATTCGTTTCTAAAATATCTAAGATAAAATTATTTCTATCCCCAGCACCAGGAACTTCACCAACTGCTCCAGGAACTTCGCCAACTGTGCCCGGAACTTCTCCCACAGGTAATAGCAGGAAACAATTAATCATATCTTGGTGTAGTCTATTTATACTAAACCGGTTTATGTAATATTGTCAATGTTTTTTAACAGTTACACTTCGTCGAAGCCCAGGTATATTTTCAGATAAGCAGTCGAAGCTTTTAAAAATAAATAATGTATTTATCCAGCACCAGGAACTTCGTCAACCGGAACGTCTCCCACAGTTAAATGCATAACAACGGTGACCGGTAATGTCCGCAAAGTTAAATGAAGAACAACAAGATTTGCTTTACAATTTGTTATTTAGTGGTGTAATCTAATTACAAAAATATATTACCAGTTTGCCTGACAGCTAACTTTTATCAGATAAAGATTTCTCCCACTGCGACCGCTTCTTTCCGCAAAGTTAAATGCAGAACAACAAATCTTAAATTGCAATTTTGTATTTAGTGATGTAATCTAGTTACAAACAGATATTACCTCTGTAATGAAAAACAATCCTGTTCTGAAATATTTAAGGCCAAGAATTATCACCTACATTGATTCTATTATAAAAAAATAAATAAGATAAACTTCGCCCACTGCACCCGAAACATCACCCACAGGTAATAGTAATACAATATTTGTCCCCTGACATCAATCCTGACAAATTGATCAATAATTATCTTTTTAACACATAGCTAACGTTTTCACCCACAGCACCTGGAGCATCCCAAACTGCAGTGCCACCTGCAACATCACCTACTGCTCCACCACCAGGAACTTCTCCAACTGCAGCGCCACCTGGAACATCACCTTCTGCTCCACCACCTGGAACGTCACCTTCTGCGCCACCACCTGGAACATCACCTACTGCCCCACCACCAGGAACTTCTCCAACTGCAGCGCCCCCTGGAACATCGCCTACTGCTCCACCACCTGGAACGTCACCTACTGCGCCACCACCTGGAACATCCCCAACAGCCCCACCACCTGGAACATCACCTACTGCGCCACCACCTGGAACATCTCCAAGTGCTCCACCACCAGTGACATCCCCAACAGCTCCACCGCCTGGGACATCACCTACTATGCCACCATCAGGACCATCACCTACTGCTACACCACCTGGAACATCACCGACTGCACCACAACCTATTACTTCGCCAACTGCTCCACCACCCGGCACATCGCCTGCAGGTAATATTCATGGCCACGATTTGTCGTCATCTTTGCAATGAATTGCAATGGAATTTGAAGCACCATACACTTAAATGAATTGGGGTTTTTTTGTGGGGGTGGGGTGGGTTTTTTGGGGTTGTTTTTTTACTATGTGAAATAATTATTCTACTTTTCAATTGACAACTAGCATATTATGTACTGATATCAATCATTATTTTACCCCATACTGTTCTCGACGGGGTTACATACGGAACCCAAACATTATGATATCACTACCTATACTATTTTGTGACTTTCAAAATGTCATCTATTCATCCCTTAAATGTATATAAGGTATTTTATTCATATATAGTTTAATTTACATTTGCCTATTTTTGAAAACATAGCCGCACCTATGTTTTGTAATTCACGCGGTGTTATAGCAGAATACTCAAATCGTCTATGCAATTACATTTATTTCATTCGAAGACGTAGTCTATTTGCACAAAGCAGTATTGCATGACATTGTCAATTTTCGGACACTTTAGATCTATTTTCAGACAAATAGTTTAGCTTGAGCATTCTTTTCTGAAATATCTAAAATTAAATCTTTCTATCTCCAGCACCGGGAACATCGCCAACAGCACCCGGCACGTCCCCAACGGCACCTGGAACTTCGCCCGTAGGTAATAGAACAACCTGTCTTGGTGAAGTTTATTTGTATAAAGCAGTGTTGGATAATACTGTCAATTTGCTTTACAGTTACACGTTTTCGAAACCCCGGGTCTGAGTTGTATATAGAAATTTGTTCGATATTTGTCTTTCGTTGTATGTCTGTGATGAAATGTAAATGAAGGCTAATTTTTTTTGATTTTCTAAATAAATTTTTTTTTGTATATCTAAAAATACTATTTACGAATCGGATATGAGAAATGTCTGATTTGTAAAACAAATATTGATTTTAAGATACAAATGTCAATTTTAGTATGTCGAAATACAGCAACAAATGAAGAAAAACTAATTAAGGACCATGAATTAAGAACTAAGAATTAAAACCGCTAAATGAAGAGTTGTTTGGTCTTCCATAGCCAATAGTTTATAATAATATAAGAATAATCTGTATTCCATGAATATATATAATACAAATACTATCCGTATTTAAACGTGCTTGATTACAAGATAATGTAACCATCAAACGAAACTTCAAAACATATTTAGATACATTTATGAAAAAACTTACAATCTGATTTATAGATCTTATAAATAATAGAAATTAGATATACATGACATTTAATATACCAACATTTACAAATGGTGATTCTATTATGGTTAATAAATTGAAAGGAATACTATAACACGATACTTATTATGAATGATCCGTAAATTCCACCGTTTATGTCGTAAAATAGCAGCATTAAGTTCAATATAGAATGGAATGAAAACTTTTATCGGAAATTACCTGATTAATAATCAATATTCCATAGACATACATAATTCATATTTTTAACACATTTTCTCAAAAAAAAAACACCAATTAACAGAAAAAGAGAGGTAAACTACGAAATTCAACCACTTAAAAAATGGATAATTTTTACACTGTATATAAATAAATAATTTCATAAAACATTTAATTAATATGACATGTATGGGAGTTTATTAATTGTTGTTTTGCTCCAATTTACAGTTGTTTGTGCCGAGGTTAAAGGTATGGAGGACCCTGCTATTATTCCAACTTCCAGTATAACAGCACCAGGCGTTTCCAATCCCGAAAACCTTAGACCAGGAACTGCAACCACAGCTACATTCCCTGCCCAAACTTCGCCAATTAGTGTAACAATCGATTTGGCACCCATCACTGATGAAACGGTAGAAATTAAATCAGTGGAACTTGTATCACCACAGAATGTAGGATCTATCAGGGTATTTGTAATTGCAACTGGTGGTTCAGAAACAGAAGCAACTTATTTGACTGCAGTAAGTATAAACACGCTTGCTATTAAGACTCTATTCCTTAAGAGTTTTTTGTTTACAAGAACTGATGTTTTCTATTATTTTTACAGACTGATTTATCAGCACCCATTCCTAAAGCTACCTTCCCTGCTGGTACGGAAGCTGCACAAATCAGAGTCGAAGTAACCCAAACCAATAACGATTCCGAAACAAGTTTCTCTCTTGATGTTAGAGCATGTTTCGAAGGTAGGATACTAATATATTTGTAATTCAGTTTTATTATGTGTTCGACGATGAAAATATGCAAAGAAAATAAATTTGAATAATCTTCCAAGGAATTCAATCCAATTGTCGTCTATGATTCTATGGGCGTACTTCTTTTATTTTAGAAACAAGTGTGTCCGGCACATCACCCACTGAAGCAGGAACATCACCCACTGAAGCAGGAACATCTCCTACAGGTAATTGTAATTTCTGAATATCCCTAATTTCGAGTGTCAAATTTCAGATATTTATTTTGTTCAACTGCAGTCTCGTTAGTTTAGAACAACAATAAGATAAATCTAGATACGTATGTAAATAAAGAAAGTCGAACAATTCTAAGCTGAAACAAAATTGGTTGAGTTACTTATCTTATCTTAACTTTTCCTTTTATTCATTTTACCAGTTGGAACAACTACACGTAAGTTTATTTTTATTTATTTTTTAAAGAAAGGGAATAATGTCCAGGCTTCATTTATATGAACACTTTCTGAATCCAACAAAATCTTTGAAGCGACCATTACAGTTTAAATATGAAAAAAATGATTTACATGCATTTGATTGATGGATGTGTGTTGTATCTTAACACTTGGCACATCTTGTATTTCAGCACGGTGTCTTGTGACAGAAGGAATGGCAAGTCCAACAGTTATACCAGCTGAATACCTTGAACAACCATCTGGATTCCCATCGACAGATGATCCAGAGAATCTGAGACCAGGTGGTGATCAATTTACAATTAACCCATCGGATGCTCCTACCAACGTCACATTTAAACTTACTGATGATGTTGAGCCCGTTGATCTGTCAGAAGTAAAACTTCCTGCCAATGACAATGTGCAAACATTTAGAGTATTTGGACGAACGGGACCTTCAGCACCATGGACACTACTTGAATCTACTGATGTAAGTACATGGTCATGGTCAAACCAATACAATATTTTCTTTTCAATTTATAAGAGTCGTACAACCATAACTTGTTTATATTCATTGATTTAATTAGATGCTTTATATGGGGAATTGTATGTGTTTCCAGTCGTTTACTTTTATTTTATTTGAATCCATCAATAAACTTTAAATTACAATATCGTTCTATCTTTAAACAGAATGATACCACTGATGATTCTCTTAAATTCCCACCTGAAGTCGTTGTCACAGAGATTATGGTTGAAATAACACCAACGGATTCGGACAAACCAGTGACGATTGATGTTAGTGTGCACGCCTGTTTTGTAGGTTCGTAGCAAATCTTTATTCTTTTTTTCTTAGATATTTCTTTATCCACCTTTAATATAATTACTTTATCCCATATTAATGTTCTACTACATTTGTATCTTTATAGTTACAACTGGCACAGAAGGAACATCACCAACAGGTAAGCCTAATGAACGATTTGATAACTTGTTAAATATATTTTAGGAAATTTTATATCAGATGGAATGAAATAAAACATTGCGTGGACTCAAATAGGTCTGTGACAATAGCTGCCACGAATGTAATATATGGATAAACAGTAAACATGTAATGAATTTTGATTTAATTGAAAGGAGCGTCAATTTCCTTGACATTTGTTTAATTTGAGCAATGCAAGTGTTGACAAACAATTAATTCTTTTCATAAATATCTGTATAACCATTTATATCTCCAGCACCCGAAACTTCGCCAACTGCACC